TTATTGTCACACACTGAAATAAAGGTATTTTACTTTACCACCCTTGAATCGCAGGCTTTATTTTTACTACCAAAATATTGATTTCTAATTGCATCTTATTTGTGTTTCTGAGAGGGTTTAATAAACATATTGACTACCTCCTTGAGGAAAACAATTTATTTATATATTTTGTGTTTGACTGGCTGAAAACATTCTTCAAGGAAACAACTGTCTAGACATGATGACAATAAACCCTCTGTTGCTGGAATGGCGGGAAAAGAGGCTGCCCTCAGTAAGCAATATTTCCCAAATAAGTCATGAGCTGTTTGCCAGGCTGTCATGTGTTTAAATAATTATTTCAGATATTCATTCTTCATAAGAACTCTTAAGTATAATTTCCTGATATGGAACACATAGATGATTTATGGCTCCATATGTTTTTTTCCATGAACGAAGCTTTATTTTGTTGAGAAAGCTGAGAGGTATGCTACACCCATCAATGCCAGGATGGCGGGCAATGCCTCATCAGTCCCACACTTGTTTCTTGGTATGATTTTGTAACTCTTGCCACGAGAACTGTTTGAAAAGGGATGATAGACACATATGCAATTAGCACAAAAAATGTTGTTAGTGATAAAAAAATGCTGATGCTGCTTACAATGTGATCAGTAGGGCCACTACTGCTTTCTCATGATTTGCCTGACTATGGCCAAGTCTCACTCCAGCTAGAAATGTGAGGGAGATCCTATGCTATTACTAAGGCGGGAACAAATTCCTGATTAAAAAAAGAAAGAAAGAAAAAAAAAAAAAAGATAGAAAAATTCAATCTGTTGTTTTTTATTAAGAGCTTTAGTTTCACAACCCTATCCTGGAGGTTGCTCCCTTGGGATTAGCTCCTGTGCCTGCACACAGCTTCAGCCTGGCTCTAAAAACCCAAAGTAACTGAGCGTGATAATCATAAAAGGAAACTTGAGTATAAATAGAAAGTGAAATTCATGGTTTGGTTTCATGGTGCAAGCAAAAAGGAAGCAAAAGTCAGAAATGGGTTATAACATTAATTGTACTTGGCAGAGATAAGAATTTGGGTTGTTTTTTTTTTAAAATCCAGAGCTTCTTTCTCCAACTAGCAAAGTTGGCAGATGTTATCAAGAATATATCAGGCCCTCTGTCTTAATTCAAAGCCTGCTGAAGAAAGTGTGAGGGTTTTTTTACATGCTTAAGTCTTTTGCATCAAATTTTTAATTTTATGTATCAGGGTTGAGGTGACATGATACATTGTACTGAGTTACTACATGATGTACTCTGAATGAGTCAGCTTTGTGGTTTCTTAGGAATGTGTTGTGCTTCTAGGAATTCAACCTGGATATCTGGGCCTGTAGATATGGCCTCTAATGTGCACAGCCAGACTTACAGCTCAGGGTATAATGAATTTTACATAATGAGCTCTAAATCTGTGAAATATATGTTATAGTTGTAAAGGAAATCGATATTAAAGGTAGAATATAAAGCCAGCAGGTAACAATGCGAATACAGGAAGAGAAAGAAGAAACCCCATCCAACTTCAGAGTATTAGGTGCTATTCAGGTGACAGTGGCTGTAGCAAACACTTAGTGGTATCTTGCAGAGAAAGAGCAGCAGTGGATTAAGTTTTCTTCGTGGCATTGCAAATTCTTATGCAAGATCATTTTCTTGTTCCTTAAATGTAGGACTGAACAGCCTCAAATCTGTGACTGTCTGTTTCTTGAAAGATGAGGTATCTTGTACATGTTAGTAAGCAGGCACTCTGAGTTTCATTTTAAGGTTAATGCTGACATGAATTGTCAGCATTTTACAATGTTTCCTGGGATAACTTAAAAAGTCTGACTGCTAAAGTTAATCAATTCAGAAACTGCATTACCTTCTCCATTTACTGTGAATCTCCTTTATTTGATTGGAAGTATTTCCTCTGTACTATATAAACACACAAACAGGCAGGCAAACCATCTGCTTTCTCTTAAATATATTTTTGGCAACTGAATGTGGATATATGTAATCCTAATGTATATCATGACTGTAAATTAAGCTCTGAAAAATAAGAAATTGCAAAAAAAGCATCATTTATGCAGGCTTAGTTATTTCTCTTTGAAATATTATTCACCTTGTAGTACACAGTCCATTTTCCTCAAGACTCCCCTTTTATTTTGTTCATAGCATGGATTACATTTTGGAAAATAAAAAAGATACAACGAATGACCCTGTTATCTAAATCAGAAGTGGGTTTATTGCCATTTTTTATATATAATTGTGTGTGGTTTTTTTGAGAAAGCACAGATAATTACATCATTGAATCATAATGACAATCCCAAGGGTCATACTATTGGACCTTTAAGAGTCACAAGGAAACCTCTATCACTTGAACCAAAGAAACCAGAATATCTTGTCTTTTTACATGGATAAGCCACTGGAAAATAGTGGATTTCAAATAATTTGCTGGACAACAGAGAAACTTAAGAATCCTGACTTCAATTATGGTAAGACTGACTTCAGTTCTACACAGGTTATAAAGCTTTGTCTTGTCTCTCCAGATTCTCTCTTCCTCATTACTTTCTGCTCTGGCTCCTTGTTCCTATCAATTCTCTCAGGTCCTGCTGGTATCGTCTTCCCCAGCTCTACATGGCTGATCTTCTCCTGTTTCTGTACCTCTAAATTCTGATAGTCATCATGAATCATCTTATCCCTTCCTGTTTCTCAAATCTCTTCATCTGTCAGGCTACCACTTCCTTTTCACTGAAAAGATAGGGAAACTTCTGAGAGAATTTCTCTTGCCTTGGTTTCTGGGACTAGCATCAGAGAAGCTTCAAGTTCCCGGCATGGTACGCTGTCAGCAAGGTCCCACTCTATGCCAGGAGTCTCCAGAAAGCATATTTATAAGCTGCAGTGAGATAATGCAAAGATATCTGGCATACAAAAATAATGAAGAGTCCTTTGCAGTGAAAACACAGTCCAGGGGGAAATGTTGTTGTTAACTATTTCCTCAACAAGAAAGCTTTTTACTACTGCACACCTGACTGTGAAGTCTTTGCTTGTAGAAACTCTTCCACTCCTAACCAAAATAAGGACTGTAGAATGGATCCTGTGCTCAGGCCATGAGTGAATGGATCCCTTCCACACTCACTTGTCTGCATAGCTACTCACCAGCTCACATCATCTAAGAACATTTCCAATTTTCTTTAATCATATTAACCAGCTTAGGTTCTATGGCAGACCCAGGAGTTGCTCTGGTCAACTCCATGCAGCTCCTACTGTCTGAAAGGCCTTTCACATATTGTGTAAGATACTCAAGAGGAACAGAATTGTCATATGATTCTCAGTCTGTAAATATTAGAGAATAATTCATCTATCAGTTATGTGGGCTCTCTTTCAAGAACTATAATAAGTGACACAGTTGATTGTGAAACGAGAACAGTGACAGTTGTTTTGAGTTTGTTTAATTTTTTTTAAATGCAGAACCATCAAACTAGGCAGCTATATTTATTTCTTTCCTTTCACATTTGGAGTGCTTGCTGTTACAGACAGACACTTTGTTACCCATCTCCACATTTTTGTTTTGCTTTAGAGCAGAAGCAAAAGTTCTGACAGTTGGCCTCATACTGGCCTCAAATGCACTCTATAGATCTGGGCACAGGAGATTTTCTCCATGTGAAAAATTCCCTTTTTGCACATACTTACATAATCAGTCATTTCATTGGCTTTGTTTCCTTCCTTTGCTTGCCTCTCTGGTTGTGTTGTTCCCAAGTACACATAATAACGAATTAGCCCCACCTCATCTCTTAAAAAATGCATTCATTTGGGACCATTTTTCTGTTTTTTACTTTTGTCTCTGAAATAAATATTCCGGTCACCTTTTTAAGCTTTATTTCACAACAGTGAAAAAAAAAATAAGCTGAAATTCTTGTACAACCACCTGATGCAAGGAGCTTTAAAAAGAATGTTGACCATGAAACTTGTGATAAAATTGTAAAAGTTGGCAATATGGAGTTTGAAAGAAGGCATATGTCTGCTTTGCATTTCAGTTATCAACTTGCCTTTCATCCTCATTTTGCAGACATACCTGATTCTCCTCTGGCCTTTATATAGCTCCGAAGTTTAGCAATTAAGGGAAAAATCTTGGTACTGGATTACCTCTTAAACAGGCTCAAGCTGTTCAGTACTCGGCATATGTCTAGCTTGGTGTGTGCTCTTACTGCCTATCCACTTTTATGTCGCTTTTAGCTGGCTGACATCAGACAGTGCATGTCAGAAGGGAAATGGTAATTACAGGCAGGCTATAGGCATGGAGTAGTATCTTATCAGTGCTACAACTATTTTCAAAAGCTAAAGAAACCCCAAGCTAACAAACCACAAAAAGTCCCTAAGATTACACTAAACTTTACCTCCTTTGACAGATGAAAAGCAGGATCAGGCCAGGCCTAGTCTCCGAGAACATCCTGAGCTTTGCCAAAGTAGTCCGTACAAAGAGACTTGATCTATTCAACATGCAATTTCAGAGTGCATCATCTCAGAAAACAGGGACGCTTTTTGAAATTCTGGAAAGCAGACAACACTTCCAGAAGGGACACGAAGAGGGTAACAGATGACTGGGGCCTTCTGGTCAGCGTGCACCAGCCCTCACTCACAGGCAACTGTTTAAGGCACTCTGAGAGTGAAGCTTCAGAAAGGATCACCCCTTCTAGCGGCATGACTCGGGAACAGCCTGGGCGACAGCTCCATGGGGCAAACGAGCCCCCCTGAAGCCCCGTGGTGACCTGCACGCAGGCTGCGCCCCGTGGAGAGGCCGCGGGGCCCTGCGGGGCGCTGCTCCCGCCTCCCGGTAGGAAGCGGAAGGCCGGCGGACCCTGGAGTATGCCGGAACCCCTCAGCCCGCCCGCCCCGCCGGCGGAGGGGGGGAGAGAGGCGGGACCGCGCCCAGCCACTCCACGCCGCCGCCAGCTGAGTGACACCCGCCGCGCCCAATGGGCGCGGAGGCGGCTCGAGTGGGCGGGCCCATGGCGGCAGCGGCCGCCCCGCCGGAGCCGGAGCCGGAGCCGGTGCAGCAGAGTGGGGAGCTCCGGCGCCGGAGCGGAGAGGGGTCGCGGCCGCTCCGCGTCCCTGAGTGCGAGAGGAGAGCGCTATGCTGCTTCACCTGGTAGCCGAGTTTGACCTGCAGAGGGATGTGGTCCCCTGGCTGGCGGCGCGGGGTTGGGCCGCGGCTCTAGGTAACGCCGCGGCGGCCGGCCCGCTCCCGCGCTCCTCGGGGAGGGCTAAGGAGGGCCCGCTCCCTCCGCCCGCTCCCTCCCAGCTGCCGCCGTGCGCGGCCCTCTCCAGCGGGCGGAGCGGCCGGGCCTGAGGCGAGACCGCCCTCCCCGCCCCCTAGCGCGGCTCCCCCGGGGCCCGTCGCGGAAGGGTCGGGGCGACGGCGGCGGCGGCGGCGGGGAGCGGCCGGGTCCCGGGAGTGAGCTCCTGTCCGCGGGGGAGATACGGGCGAGTTTGATGTCTTCGTGGACCTTCTCACGTGTGGAAAGCATTTCTGCGCGCCTGCTGCACTCCACAGCTTGTTCATCTCTTCTGCCAAAAAAAAGCCAAACGCGTTTGTTTGGGTTTTGTGTTCTTCCCCCTCCCCCCCCCCCCCCCCCAAAAAAAAAAAAGGCTTTTAACACGGCTCCCTCTCCCACACTACTCCCCTTTATGGGCGATTAAAAAAAACCCCAACCAAACAAAAAACAAACACTTTTGTCTATGTGGTAAATAATTACTAGTTAAAATTAGACAGAGTGTTAGCTGTCACAGCAGTGTGCAGTAGCTAACGTTGCGAGCGCTTGTTGTCGCGGTTGGAAAAAAGAATGACCCCTCTGTATTCTTGGCCCTGTGGTTTTTTGGTTGTATTTCTCATAAATCTGCAGGGCAGCTGGCTCGGTTCTGCTTTTCAAAAACTGGTGGAAACCTTAGTTTGAAAAAAAAAATAATAATGTAATAAGTATTACTTCAGTAGAAGTAGATGGTCATTGATGCACCTTGTGATGAACTTGAAATCTCAACTCCTTTAGTTGTTTTTAATGAAAATACTTCATTTGCTTTCCATGTTGAGGGGCTGTCATCAAATAGTTTCATAAGAACTTGTGTGGAGATAAACCAGAAAGTATTAGCTTTTCTTGGTTTTATAAAAGAAAATTATTTACCAAGATATTATTTATAAAATCTGTTAAAAAATATTTCACATATACTAGATTACTGAACAACTATGAAAGGGTGTACTGAAGGGCCTTGAGGTAAAATTCTGAAATTCTCCATGCATAATCAATTCATCTATGAATTTATGTGTTCATCTGTGATGAATTCAATGAGTCAATTAACCTATGCATTTATGTCATAACCTTCTCAAGACAGCGATGACTTGTGTTTGGGAAAGGGACATCTATATTCAGCTTTTTAAAATGTAATATAGATTCTTCGTTAGTAAATGCCCTTGGTAATACAGAATCAGAAGAATCTTGGTTAGAAGGTGCATCTGATCAGATACCAGCATTGCTGCACTGCATTTCATCTTTTCTCTGTATATACTGACTTATCTCCTGATGTAGTGCTGTTCTATTAGGAATTTGAAGGCAGGAGGCAGGAATTTGAAAAGATTAATTTAAACATCAAAGAAATACCTATGCACAGGAGCAAGTAATTTTTAGGAGTCATGGTACTTCTGTGGCAGTGGTTTCAGATGTTATAGTTACTCATAATTATTATTTTCTTTCCTGAGGACTTGAAAATCCTTGATAGCGTGTAAGAATTTCTAGTGGCATGAGAGCTGGCAGTAGCTATGATGGGAGCAGAGTGGCATGTGAAGAGAACTGGCCTTGTTCTCTTTATTCCACTTAGTTTTGTATGTGCTGCATATAATGGCCTTCAGGAAATCAAACACTGCATTCTCCTCAGTGTGTTGATAAGAGTTGTTTGCTGGGCAGGCAGGTTGGGTTGGTTCTTTTGCAGCCTTTCATCTGCTGGTCTAAACTGTGGGATGAGGAAGAAGTCATTCTACATGCAGAGTTTTACTTCAGGACTTTCCAAGGGCAGAGATTGTCACTTCTTTGGCTCCATATTCCCACTGACAATGTTCAATGACATGAAGCTTGCTTCTGACACCAAACTTTTTCAATACCTTTTAGATCTCTGTGTTGGGTGATAGAGAAATTCATCGACATAGAGATTTATTGTGGACCTTCTCTAGCTAAATTCTGTTCTGAGGAAGTATTGTGTGAGAGAGAAGTGTGGAGACTAGTACTCATCTTGAAAGTTTGAGGTGGTGGTTAAATTACGGGAAGTTTCCACTAAAGGAAGAGCAGAATATATGGTTACCTGAGGCTTTCTCACTTGTGACCAGCTATCCCTAATGTAGTGGTATTGTAGTGTAATTTGAGTGATCTGAAACCAGTAGAAAGTGATGCATTGTTAAATGTACACTAAGGATTTTCATTGTCCTCCCACAACAAAATACACTTTATTTCCTTCTGATAATACTTGTAAAAAGTTTTTTTTTCTTATCACTACAAGCTGTAACAAGCCAGTTTATAATATCAGCTGTGTGAACATTTTCACTTGTCTTCCTTCTATGAGTGCTTTATGATAACTGCAGAGTAACTGGTGTTGAACTTGACTAAGTGCTTGCTGAGACTTGTGGAGAATTCTTTTTGTTGTTGTTTATTGAACCACGGGCTACCTTTATCTTAAAACTAGGACCAGTCATGCAGCTGTCAACCTTTTTAAGGGCAAAATTTCCACTTTTAGTGAACATTCCATCCGAGATAGACACATTTTTGGTGGCTGCAATAATTAGAAAACAGAAAAGCATCATCAGGAAAGCATGCATTTTTGTCACCTTCAGTATGATCTTTTATATTTTTTTTCTGGTATTTTCCTTAATTATTATTTTGTGCTGTTTTGTCCAGATGTGCTCTTCTCTTTCTGTGTCCATCCTAGCTTCCTGCTCATCTGTTTGCCTTTTAATCTGAGTCTTTCATTCATACCCCACATCATATCTTTTGTCCTGCATTGCTTAATTCCCTCATACCTGTAGGTATGTTTAATCTTGTGGTTCTTGTTTATTTTGGGGGTGTAGGGGCTTGGGGGGCATAGGTTGGGTGTGTGGTGGTGTTGTTGTAGAACTAACCTCTAAAGATATAGTTTATTTCAAGGCATTCCTTTGGGATGCTGAAGGGGCAGCTGGGAGCAAGTGATACTTTCTCGGGCTAGTTCTGTCTCCCTGTAGTGTTCTGAGGATTGGAGTGCAACTTAACTGTTTGAACCCCATGATGTGTATAATTAATAAATGCAAACTTTTTTTTTTTTTTCTCTGAATGGAAGATAGTGAAAAAGCACGTGCGATTTTCATCACAAAAGGTAGTGGCTGTTAGGGTCACAGTTATAGTGAAGGGTTAGGGATTTACATAAAGAATTCTTTCCTGTGTGTTTTGAAACCCCTTAACTATTTTGTATTGGAGTTTATCAGATTTAAATCACAGTGTAAGAAATATTCTCTCTCTGAAGGGAATAATTTTCATGTATACAAAGAAGTATTTTTATGTAGAAATGCATTTAGTATCTTTGCTTAAAGGGTATAAATTGTATGATGAACCAGCTCAAATGAAAATCCTGTACCTTTTGATACTTATAATTTCAGATACTTCTGAGAATTCATCAGCACTCTACGTTGTAAATGTTGAAAGAAATGGAAATATTATTTATACCTGGAAGGTAAGTCTGTCTTTGAACTTAATAAAAATATAGCAGAGAATAACACTGTATGTGTGTCTATGCCTAATTGAGTCCTTCTAGTTTAAAACTGTTTGCAGTGAAAGTTTGAGCATGAAAACTTGATTGATTACAACTTGGGGGTGTTGGGCAATGGGAAGATACCCCTCTTCAGAAAAAGGTTAAGAATGGTGAAATTTGAAGCAAAGTACTGACCTGATTAAGTCCATAGGGTTTTTGCTGTTGATTTTTTGGGGGAGGACCAGAATCTTACCTTGAAGGATAAACTCTTAGTAAGCAGCAAATTCTTTCATCCTCAGAATTTCTCAGGGAAGTCTGACTATTGCATTCATGTGCACTGCGTTAGTTAAATAGGTTTCCTCCTACCAATATATATGTTAAGACGTCATTTATCTAACACTACTTCTGTTTCTGCCTTTCTTCTTTATTACTTTTAAGATTCATCTATAGCACTTTATTGCAAGTAGTCTGAAACAACCGTTGTTTATCTGATGTCTTGAAGTATCTAGAGCTATCCTTTTTAACATAGGATTCTGTTCTCCGTGGCATATATATAGCTTTTAGGTTGAAACGCCTGTAGTTCCAAGAGATTTTTAAATGGTTTGAGGTTTCCCCTTGATGAGAGAAGCTGTACTTCTTGTCTGGGCCTCTTGGAGAAATCTGTAGACCCAGCTGGATTCTGGAGGATCTTGGTTTCTGAAGAGTACAGACTGGAGATAGCAGACTCCAGTAGAATAGAGCTGCCTTTTGCTCCCCTCTGGCTCAACAAGGCTAAAACTCTCCAGCTTCCCTAGGGTTAAGGGAAGAGGTGAGGCCTTCATGAAGGTATAATACACTTTAACCGTGGGTGGATGTTTCCTTTAGTACAAGCAGAGGGAGGGGAATCTGTACAAGACAACAGTAACCATAAAAACAACACTAAAGAATGTGTCAAGTTTAGGCTTTTTTCATTGCTCAAAACTCTAGAAAGACTTAATGAAAGTAACCCATCTAGTTCCCAGTGAGAGATCTAGTACTCTGTACGTGTGGTGTTTCTGCTTTCTAGCATCTGTGGAATCTCACACTACGCTTTTTTGGGCAGAGTTCTACTACCTTGTAGGTTATTCAGGCTCTTGCAGCTGGCACTAGGGATGCGTTGTAGCTCAAGCTTCACACATCTAAACATAGGTGTCTGCTTGCATGCTAGGTGTCTAAGCTCCCACTGTAGTCAGCAGGAATCTGGTCAATACAGTTGGTGGAATTTAGAGAACTGGCCACTCGTACTCTGGGAGGAAGTGTGTGAGGTGGAGGAGGTGGACAGATACACCTTAGACTCCATTGACTGAATGGGGCAATGACTGGCAGGAGAATTGAAAGACCTAGGCTTAATTCCCTGAACCTAGGGGTAAAGGTTGCATAGGAAGTCACTGAGAATGTTCACTGTAGTTTATCTTTCCTAATTTTGGGAATAAAGTGACCTCTGCAGCCTGTGTGGTGGGAGTGGCTGAATGACAAAGCCTGAGAACTGGAACTAGCAAATTGCACAGCTGTGCTGCAGTTTTCACCTCTGAAATGCCGTCCTGAAAAAGATGCTGCTGCTGCTGCTTTTCTTGTTTTCTTACCATGATAAAAGTAGTCTGAGCTTTTTCTCCCGAGTGAGTCAGCCTGCTGAAGAATCAGCATCTATTTATTCCTCTATTGGGAAGGATGCTGACATTTTGTTTGCTTCTACTGTGCTTTTTACACTTGTTAATGGGCAAACTGGAAGATACTTCCTGGAGTTTTCTCACAAAGAACAAATGTATATTAAGGTGGTATTGCATTAAATGTGTGATGCTTCTCCCAGAGAGAAGTTGTTCATAGTGTGTGGTATACCTTTCTTTCTTGGATCAGTAAAAATTCTGCTCATCAGCTGAAAATGTTGGTACCCATTTAGATGCTACTGATGTCAATGGGAGTCAGTATATCTACACTTGTCTGTGTGCATGATAAAAACGTGGGTATGTCTGCCTCAAAGCTCGTGTTGGTCTGGGTGGCTTGTATATTGGTAGGAGCACACATGGTGGCCCAGGCTGTAGCTGCATAGCACTCACCTGATGTCCTGAACAGGCTGGGGCCTGAGCTGCTAACACTGAGCCTTTCCTGATGCCTGTGCTTTTGTTAAATCAGTTACGTCTGTGTCAGCTGCAGTCACACCTTGGGACTGGGATACTTTCTTTAAAGCAGGACTGATTTTTTTTTTTCCTATTTCAAGAGTAGAATGCTAAGAAACAGCAAGTGTTGGGGGTATTGTGTGTCTGTCTTTTCACACTCTACTACTGACCTAACAAGGATTCAGTCCAAATGTTTCATTTTCTGAAACAGTCTGTTAACGTATGGATAGAGTTCTGTGGTTTTAGAGTCATCTGCAAACCTTTTAAGAGGAGTATCCATTCATGTTTACATAGAAGTCTTGGTGTATGTATGCATCGTAGTGAATGGCAAGTAGTTTTAGGCCTCGTTTTGACACTACTTTTAAATTTTTGCAAACTCGTTCTAAAATATAAGTATTCTGTGTGCATTGCTATTTTGTTCTGCTAATATACGTCATCACACTAGAAATCTTACCTGAGGAAAACAGACTTCTTTTAGTGTCTGCAGTTAGTCCTGTTTCCTTAAACTTGCATTGGAGAAATCATGATGTAATTACAGCTTCTAACAAACTACAGTTCTTACTGAGTTGTTAAGGCAGGTTAACATCTCTTTCAATTTTTCTCTCTCTCCTACCTTCGTAATAAACTATTTATAACTAATGGGCTGCCACGTTAGCAAGACACAGCTATATGTCTGTGAGCCTTTCCTGTTGATTTTATAGCAGCAAACTTTAGTTGTAACATTATCAGTGAGGGTAGTACACAAACAACCATGTAAACTAAACTGAGCTGCCCTGGTGTGTTTCCTAATAGATACAAACAGAAAATAACCTTTGTCTTGCTAAGTGGAAGAAAATCAAATGCATTCTGCATGAAATCAGGGAAAGGTGGAAGATGAGCTTTATTTTCAAAGCTTCTTTTTTAGAGTTTTGCATTGTACTGTAGTTTTGACAGTGTCTGTCTTTTGTGACATGAATAGTTGGTGGAAAGTATTTTTAACAGAATTGAATTCTAGTGTCAGTGCTTTTATTTTGCAATGCAATACAAGAATCTTTAGAGTAAATATGAAAACAAGTGTCTTAGCTGATGCACAAATATAGGCACTGATGTAGTTCTGTTACCGGTCTTGTGTATTTTTCAGTAGCTAAGTACAGAGGATGTTAGCGTTTCAGACACACTTGGAAAGAACAGTTATTTGTGAAAGCACTTGCTTAACCTTAAATTAGAAGGACTGAAGCCTATGTCTTAATGTAAAGACATTTTGTTTTCCATGTTTAAGTCAGAAGTCAAATACTTTTGTCATTGCCATAACAATAATGAGACATTCAGAAATAGACCTCTTAGGAAGAGAATACTCAGGCTTTTGTTTTAACTTCACAAAGCAAGATGTCGTAACTTTGTAAATAACCACAGATTTCTCCCCTCTCCCCCCAAGCTGTAGTTAAAAACAAGGATGATCACTGTTTGACTAGAAACCTATGTGGCTGGATTGAAATTCAACAGTTTAGAAATTTAGTGCCTGTACCTAGAGTATATTAATGGACTTCAGCTTGATTTGATATATATGCCACCAAGCAGAATTTATTTTACATTTTTAAAAAAATATTTTGAAAATTTAAAGCATGTTAAAAATTACCAAGAAGAAAAGTTTTGAATTGTATAAAATCATTGTATGTTATTATCAATAAGCTAGAAAGGATGTGTATTGTGTTTATTTTCTAAGGCAGCAGGCTAATGGTGTCATCTGAACTTGTGAAATAGATTTAGCCTTCAAACAATCATTTCCTAAGGCAGGGTTGAAATCCTTTTTTCCAGCCTGCAGCCAGATCACTAGAATCTGAGTTTGGTGATGTTTGATGTTTCCATGCTCCCTTTTGGAGCAATGACCCACCGAGTTGAAGTTTGGAATACCAGCCTTAAATCTTCCGGGGGGCCGTTTGCATCCCCTTTCACTCTTGTATGGACATCGCTCTTCCTGGCCCTGCTGCCTAGGACTAAAACCACTTTAGAACCAAAGCGAGAGAGAGGCACTTGGCTTATGCAACGGCTTGTGGGCTGTGTGTTGGCTACATTTCAGCTTTATCTCGTGTTGGTTCTAAAAGGAAAAAAAAAAAACCCCAACTTTGTTCTCCTTCTTGCCTCGCTTTCTTGGAATTAGATAATTAACTGCGTGCTTATAGGACAGGGAAGTGTGTGAAGATGTGTGTCAGTGGGCTGGGGGAAGAGGAGAGGGAGGTAGGGAAAAAAATAAAAGCAACTTTTAACTTTATATATTCACACTGCCAGTACTAATTTATTTTCATCCATAGGGAAATCAGAGAAATACTCACATTGGATTGTATGATCTTCAAACTAAACAAAATGAGGTGAGAGTAATACCGGGCTTCTCCCTGATGGAGACTGTGCTGTAGTGTTGCAGATTTTGATGCCTTGAAACTCAGTATGTTATGTCCTTAAGGAGTATATGCTTGTTTGAAACAGAAGAGAGACCAGAGAGGGTATTCGAATGATGCTCGGTAGTATTGAGATGCAGAACATTACAAAACATCTGAATGACTTGGGAGTAGTAAAGCATCATGTCTGCAATCTTTATTTTAAAACAACCAATTCAAGCCCTTTCTGCTCCAGACTGAATATGTGTGCTAAGAAATAAATGTTTTGGGTTTTCGTTGTTATGTGTGCATCCTCCATCTGTTTGGTGTAACCATTTGTAAGAAATTATTCTAAAACTGAATGTAGTGCAATTCAGTGGCTGCAGTCATGATAACAGGCCTTTGCAGGTGTCCCCATAACAGTACAAAATGGGTGAAATTTCATATTTACATGAAGGTCTGCTGTGCTGCTCTAGTGGCAACATACTGCTCAAAAGAGCCAGTAAGAAACAAATGAGAAAAAGGAGAAGTGATACAATTCAGGCTTAAAATATGATTCTTCTGGCTGTGAGATGATTTGCTTTAAAAAAAAAAAATGGTGTACTGGTCATTAGTGTTTTCCTAGGGAGGAGTAATTAGATGGTTTTCTTTATATAGGTAAAAAAAAAGATAACTTATTAACATTAATATGTTTCTCTATAGCACCTCTATATGTTTGAGAGGGATCTACACATAATCAGTTGTTCGATCAACAATGAAAGGACGTTATTGGGTAAATATATGTTTTATCATTAAATTTTTTTCTGTCACAGTAAAGATGATTTAGTTCAGTAGGATGATACATTTGGGTCTAGAATTACTTAAATCTGTTTTGACCCATACCAGTGGATCTCTAACCAAATAATGTAACAACATAGCCACAGCTGTAACGATATTGTTTTGTTAAAAATCTAAGACACACTGACCCTTTCTTCACTTCCCCCCTCCTGCGTTTATACATGACTCCTACATCTAGAAGAGCTTCTGTAGTTCCTTTAACATACAAGTTTTTGGTAAAAAAATCTGTGATGCTTGCTTTCCAAGAATGTTTACTGAGATTAATAACAAATATGCATGCTCACTGTGGCTGTGTTTTTTTTTTTTTTCCTCTTAGCTGTCAGCTTCTGTCAATATACAGAGGAAGAAAGAGTAAGTCAGCTATTACAGTCAGGTACTACAAGTGGATTGTTTTAATACTGTTGTAAATATTATACCCTTTTACTTTTTTTTCCCATGTAATTTCTGTTCAGAAAACAAAATTGTGTATAAAAAAGAATGTTATCTAAAACCTGTTCTTTTTGCAGTATCCAAGTATTTAACCTTGCTAATTGAAATTCATCCCATTAATAATGTGAGAGTCCTAAAGGCTGTGGATAGCTGTGTTCGAGTACAGGTAAATTATTCAACTAATCTTTAACCTTTTTAATCCACTATGCTAGGAAAAAAAAGTGGTTGAGTGCAGAAATATCTTGTGTTATCTTGCAACTGTTATAGTGTGCCTGTGTTTCTTCATAGAATGAAAAAAATGAGAAATTTCATGAAATGTTTAATGTAGAATGTCTCTGACATGCAGGCTGCTTTTTTATTTCTCTTCAATCCCTTGAAGCTTGCAATTATAGTTACTGGTGACTATTAGTCTGTAATAATAGCTATTTTTATTAATTAAATATAATTAGCATGCCTGTTGTAATTAAAAAATATGTAAATATCCAGCTAAAAAAAACCCCAACATTTTGGATAAGTGTTCTAAACTACTTTGGTTATTTACTTCTGTGAAACTTTATAGTTTCTTTATCCAGTTGAAGACAGAAATACTTCTACAGAAAATCGCCTCTTGCTGGTTTCAGAAGATAAATGTGAGTTCATATTTTGGATGTACTTTGTCATTCTTTTACTTTAAAATGATGGTTATAGGTTATATTTTTGGTTGCCTTTTATTGGAAAATGAAAAAATAAAGTCTTTCCAAAACTGTATAATTTAATGGTATTTTTTTTTTGGTGTGAGCAGAATGTCCAGCTTTGACTGCAATTATTTGCTTAGTTCATGCATTTAGCAGTTATCTTTATTTCTAAAAAAGCTAAAATAGACTTTTATAGCAGCCTATATATATTCAGGGCAGATCAACTGACTATGAGATGGGTTGTCATTTAATGTGTGACAAGTAGGATAAGAGAAGAACAATAATTTCTTGGATTTGTCTAACTTTGCATGTTCTGCCTAATCTAATGGGAGGGAATTGGGTAGAGGTGGACACTTGGAAAAGGTTGTTTATCCCTCTTGCTTTTCAGTCTTATAGTGTGAGATCACTTTTCCCATCTCTTTGGAGAGGCACATCTCTGCTAAGCTAGACACCAACCTTTAGGTAGCCAGACTTTCACAAAGTGCTGTGAACTGTATCTGAAACATTTATAACATCTGCTGGGTGAATCTTGCACCCTTCACACAGGCAAACTACCAATAACTTTTAGGAATTGTGCCTGGGAAAGGACTGTGAGCTGGTATTCATGCTAGGAAGTGAAACCGGGCTGTAGTGTGGTCTCAGGCACAGGCATGCAGCTCTGCACGCTCTTTATAAGTGTGCTTCTTGTCTTGGTTTGGCTTATTTCAGTTAGCACTCTTCCTGCCGGTGCTGCGCTGGTGTGGGCAGGGAACTGCTTCCAGGAGGTGGTATGGCTGGGGCCACCCTCAGCTCAGGAAAGGAAGAGAGTCCAGGTCTCTGCCTATGTTCATATAACATAGATTTCCTCTTGCAATGAGTTGAACTTTCCTGGCCCTAATGTGTTCTTACAGAATTCTAAGAGGTGAGATTGTTTAATAAACTGTATATAAAAGCATATAAAAATGCATGTTTGTAATTATTTTTTTTAATATGTTTTAAAGATATTGAACAATTTGACATTCATGTTGTTGCAGAAGAAGAACACAAAGTGGTAAGACTTGAAAAATATTGGGGTTTGAGGTTTTTTGCTTTAATTGAAAAGCATCTGTAATTTTAGCTGGTTTTGTAGTTTTATACTTGGGCAGCACAGAATGTATTAAAGAAAGTATCGATAGAATGGCAACATATGCAGCTAACCACAGAGCTGATTGAAAAACCTGTATACCTTGTAATCTATGAGGAAAGTTACTTATTGTTTGTTGTTTGCTGGATGCTTCTATATGTTAGAAGTTGGGAGTAAACATAGTGTATATACATTTTTAAATCATTTAAAATATTTCCAGAGTCACCTTCCTAACAGCCTTTTGGGAGTCAGTGTGTCCCAGTAAAGCATTCATTTAAAAAGCAAGCAAAAAACCAAAAGACATAAAACTTAGGTACACTCCAAGTACTGTGAATGTTCCAGTCTCTTTTTCCTGTTTTCAAAATGATTTTGTCTTCAACAAATTGTGAACATTTTGCCTAAAAGACTTATTAATAAACATACATCTAATATAGTAAAGAATTGTGTCACAAAAGCCAGTGTTTCACTTTATGGAGACAAATGTCAGGTTGGAAAAAAAAAGTTAAGGTCCTGATTTGCAATCACTTTGAAGTCTTTCATGGTTTTCTCAAAGTTTATCGCTGCTTTTAAAGCAGATGGGATTTATATGCTAGACTATGGTAGTGGAGTAAAGACTAAGAATGTTGTCAGAAAAAAACAGATCAATCTGATGTCTTTCTAATGAACAGATTTGTTTTGGTTGACATGAAATATCCCTACATCTTTCAAGAGTGCATTTGTACAATGCCAACAGTTTTCCACAATTCTAGACCTTTCCCTACTGCTGGCACTCTGTATCACGTGGCTGAGACTTTGGATGGAAATCCCTTTTGTAGCTAACACATCTTCCTTCAATAGTTAACGTAGCTGGTTCTGCTCTCTCCTCTATGATGAAGAGTGCTGTCTGGTTTTCTTTGTTCACTTTGAGCAGCTTAAGCAATGAATTTCTTGCAAGCAAGGAAATCTCAAAAGAAAATAGTTGGTAGTAGGTATACCTCGAAAACTGTGCTTCTGATCTCTTTAAACTGAGCACCTCGCACACAACAAAGGTGGACTTTGTACAACTAACAAGTAGCTTATTTCCTCCAAGCACCTTAGTATTTGTGCCTCTTCTGTCATTGCTTTTCTCTTTGAAGCACAGACTGTGCGTAATTGTTACAGAACTTTATTTGATGGCTTCTAATGTTGTTGCTTTCCTTTTAGGTGATTCAGAACGCAGGTCAGCTTCCAAGAGCCAGAGTTACAGATGATCTCATTTGGGCACAATGGGATATGATGGAACAAAGGCTCTTCTACATTGTTCCAAAGGTGAGATGAAAGTTAATTCTAGTAGTTTTGTACCTGCCTGTCTCATGACAGTAAAATTTTGAGTGTGTGGGGTAATAATAGTGTGAATTTGTTTTTAATTATAGTAGTCTGTCTTGTTCCTGCCTCAACCTAAAGCAAAGGCCAGACTTGCCTTAACTGGTATTTGTGCATAGTAAATTGCAAGAACACTGGTGATCTTGGTGCTTTCTATAAAAAAGGGTGGGTTTGTTAGGTCTTTTGGCTTTAAAAAGCTCTTTTCTTCAAAAGGATCTAAATCTACCAAAACATATTGTGTGTTCTAGAAAATTCACATCTACACAAGACTTACTAAGTGACTAAATGAGGGCAGGTTCTTGGCTAGAAATGCAGAAACTCTTTGGGTTTTTTTTTGTTTTGACTGAGAGACTATTTGCACTTGATGTATTGTACATAAATGAAAATTGATTTTTCTTAACTCTTCTTAGCCACCAAAAATATACAAGTGTTAGGAAATAACGGGAAAAGAACTGTGATGGAGAAATATATTCCTGTTGTTTCTGAGATACCCTTTCTGAACTGACCAAAGTAAGATATAGTTCCTTCTGCCGTATAGGTGGTTATGGAAAACATTTTTTTTTTTTTTAAGTTTCTAGAATATATGTGTGTGTGTGTGTGTGTGTGTGTGTGTGTGTGACATGTAATGTTGTGCTTCAAGTGGGAGCCCACGCAATTATAGATGATTGGCAGATAATGATCTGGGACAGGAAGGAAGCATGTCATAGTGCTATTGTGGGGGGTTATATGTGGTTTTTAAAGTCGTCTTTTGTCACCTAATTTGTGCATATCAGTTAGCAAAGCAGGTTGAGTGTGTAGAGTGCTGTGGAGTATCCAGTCACTTTTCAGTCTATATGATATGTTTTTTATTTTATCAGTTACAAAGCACATCCTCTTAATTTCAGGGATCAAGGAGTACTTTAAAATGTGTCCAGTTTTATCCTGATGAAAATTTTAACTCAATAGTAAGTCATTAGTGTTTTATTATACAGTGGTTTTGAATTGGGTGTAATTATGTGTTCCAGGCACTGATAAGGAGATCTATTTCAGTGTCTTTTGTTATTGGAACTTTTGCAGAGGAAAAGTGGGATTTGTTTTTCTGATTGTTTTTTTTTTTTCGCATTATATTCTTTCCAAGAATATATTCAGTCAGATTCAGATTGTGCCACAGTAGGGTAACTTCAGTGGAATTGCACAGATTTTGACCTAGAAGTGAGTGACATTCATAACATTATACTGATCTTATACTCAAGTACTGAAAAGCAGGATTATCAAATGCACTAGACAAAGGAACCACATGCTAATTTTATGTCAGTTTTAAGCGAGACAGGAAAATCTGTTGTGGCCAAAATACAAAGAACAGAACATAAAAATTACAACTGTTGAACATGGAATTGTTACTAGGCTTTTGGCTCAGTGGCTGAAATTTAATGCAGAGGATTAAATATCTCGCAATTTCTTTTTAAGAATCTATTTCATCGTTTTGGGAGCTATTGGAGGAGGATGAATAAACTTTGCTAAAATGTTATATCTAGTGAAATGAGTTCAACACACTTTACTGGACTGAAATATTAATTGTAGTATATTGACCTCACTAAATAGGTTTGTTTTTGTTTTTGGTTAACAGCTGGAATCACACCTGGATATTTCTGTAAATGACACACAATTAAAGTAAGGGGGTTTTATGTTTTGTTTTGCTTTCCTTATAATATATAAAATAATGTTTTATAGCTCTAAGTAAAATTTGTGTCCAAACCACAGTGTCTTTGTTTGCAGTTGACAACATGGTACTGGAACATAAGGATAATATGAACACTGTGTCCAAACCTTCAGTTCCTCTCATTTTCATCAGGGTCAACTGTAAAATACAATTTAATCCTTCGCTGCTTTTTGGTGTCATTTTAAAAAATTATTTGTCTGAAGAGCTAGCTGTAGGTTAAGCAACCTGTCTTCTGCGTATTCTGTACCTTTTTTAAATTAATTTGTTTTAATCTTGGGTATGTTGTAGTGATGTCAAAATTCGTGCCAAGGGAAGCTCTCCATTTTTAATTGCTGTTACATTTTACTGGGCAGTTAACCAGACCAGTAGCTTCTTTTTATAGCCTATGAGGTATTGCCTGTCTCTTTTCTCCTCCAGCGTGCTATTCCCAGGCAGCTGGGAATAGCACTTTCAAAGGCGAAGATTCGTCTGATTCTATCTGTGTCTACTGTGTACATGACTGCGTCTGTGCTTGTCATCTTAAGGCTCCCTTTTAATTGAGGAAAAACTAGTTAGGATGGTCTGACTCTCAGTCATAATTCATCTCATCCTCATCGGTCTTCAATCAGTTGAATTTACATTCCAAAAAGGCCTGTTTCTCTTTGTAAATAAAAAGAGAGGCCAAAGCTACTAGATCAGGTATCAATAACTGAAGGTAGCTGAGTCCCACCCTGCCCAAACTGTGGCTTTCAGAATGCCTCAGTGCTATGAAGAGGGCTCAGTGTAGTGCTACTGCACACACAGGTTGCCCTAAAAGGGCAGTGTATCTTGTAGTTAGTAGTGAAAAAATCCAGCTCTTGTAAGAGCTTCAGTGTTATAATTTCTCTTTCAAAGTTCTTGCAGAAGACCTAGGGGAAAATCCCTTACAGGATCACAATCCTTTCTGGAAGAAAAAAAAAAAAAAAAAAACGAAACAAAAAAGCCAAAGCAGACTGACTACAATATTCTGTTGCATGTTCTGCATGGCAAAAATAGGACTTGCAGATTTTAAAGATAGATAAAACCATTAAAGCACAAGCAACATGAGACTGAAAAAGAATGTCATGGTATAACAAGTTTCACATGAGTGTGATTTTGTGCTTTCCTCTTTGAGTATTTTTGCTGAAATTAGTGTGCCTAATTGCAGATCAAAATGTTGCTTTACAGACATAAGAATGGTAGAGTTAGACTGCAAAGCCTTTGAGTTCTCAGGTATGATGAATGTTTGGATTTCCAGTACTTTATCAGAACTTGCTTTCACTTCAAAGTATAGAAATGGGTGGAGAATGATGCAGTAAGTGAATATGAAGTTCACAGGTTTATTCCAAATTGTTGGTTTCTGATAACCATGCAGTTTTGGGATTCTAATTTCTAACAGCATTGAGCGGGTTGGTTAAAGCCTGATTTAATTTGCATTAGAGAACATTTTATTATAATTTAATTAGTATGTTTTGATTACATAATGACTGTTCTCATGATCTTTATGTTGTGATGAATTGCTGTGGATGAAGAAGTGATTTATTTAGTGATTTTTATTTGCTCATAGACTTGTGAATTTTGGATATGATTACTGTCAAGACCAAGATGTTGCATCTAAATCTTTGAATCTTCAGGTTTTTACAAGTAAAGCAGGTAATGAATAAATACAAGTATTGTCAAAATGATCTGCACTGTTAATTATCATGCAGTATAATCATAATTGATTACTAAATTTCTTCATAAGGCATATATACTTCTATTTTTTATGTGGCTTTTTTTTGCATGAGTTTGAGATTTTTCTTCCTTCAGAGTATACTTGACAGGTAACTGAGGAGAGGGAGAAGGCAACTGTGCACTATTTTTCTCATTAAGTTTTTTACCCTATGAAAGCTGCATTCCAAGTTGAGCTGAACAGCACCTAGGGTTTTATATATCAACACCAGCAGTAAAACAGTCACCCGTCACCCAGAAATTTTCTGGTAGTCCAGCTTCAAAGAAGTGTTATCATGCGCTTATGTGGTGAAATATCTCCATCTAAGCCCATTTAGCATTTTCTGTATCATTTTCTGCTAGTTTCAGAACACAGGTGGTACCAAAGCATGGCTGTGTATTACATTAGAGCAATTTAATGTTAAAGATGACCAAAAATGTGTTAGAAAGTAAATTCAAGGAAGGTTTTGGCTAGGTCTATTGTCTGGATGTCTGGCATAGTATATAATTGGGTTACAGAGTGGACGGGCATAAACAGAGCATGTGCAGTACAGACTCTAAGAGCTTCATATTGCTGTTAAAATGTGATACTTAGGTCCAAGTATGTGATACTAAATTTAGGACGTGATACTTAAGTCTTTAGTATATATATATGTTTCCTTAAACCTAAAATGTTCTTTAAACCTGTAGGATTTAGGAGTCTCCCTGCATCCTAATGCATGCTATGAGCTTTTTTTTTGATTAAAAACTGGTCTCAAGAGGCATCTGTTCATCACAGATGCCTGTATTTTCAGCTTCTAAATTAGACCATACCACCAAGCAGAGATGGTATCTGATTAACCTTTGAATAGTCTGCAGAGTTGTATAAGGATATGACGTGTTGCAAACGTGGCTTTACATCTCACTTCTTAAGGTGTGCTGTATGCACACGGGCGAATTCCTAAGGTTGCCAGTTGCATTGAAATGATCATTAATGCAATTCAAGTGAAATACAGTTTCATTACACAGATTTTTTGCTTACCAAGGCAGGCAGCACGACTAAAAAGATTAGAGGGAAGAAAATAGAAATAAGAGAAAGCCAAGTTTCTATCTACCAAATGTAGTCTAGGCTGTTTTTTCTCTGTTAGCAAGACAGACTATTTCTTATACAAACAGCCACTCTAGTAATGGAAAATGCAATAGATTTGTGTGTGTGTGTATGTGTATATGTATTTTTATATATATATATATATTTATATATATATGTTTCTTTTTAAACCTATACTTCTCCAGGGTTTGTTCAGATTGAAGCACCTCCTTTTAGTTTAGGATGAGATTCATTTTTCCTCCGATGAGACTGTTGTTTGGTTACCCTGAAGTAAAAATCTTCTTTTCCATCTGGCATCACAGTATTTAAATTCTGTGTGGAACCTTTCACATGCGCTTTTCATTGCACTTAATGTAAAACACATAATTTGACAATTATACTTACTAAATGGGATTATTGTATGTGGCTTTTCATTGAATGTTGTTTGAAACCAAGGATTACTTTGCACAACCCATTTTGAGTAACAGTTTGGAACAAATGTTTTTGGCACTGAGACCATATCTAGTTGTTGAAGAACACTGGGGGTAATCACAGTAAAGTTCCCTTTTGTGCCTCTTGTTTGTGGTGATTTACAAAACTGGACTGCAGGCTCTTTGGGGCGCAAACTATGCCTTCTGTGGAACTGCTAGCATGCTCCAAATATTAATGCCGATACCCATATTTGTACCATTCAGACATCTCTGGCAAAGAATAATTGGCATAACTTCAAACTGGAATATTCCATGCAATTTCCCATTTAATAAAACTGTTATTGGCTACTGCCAATCTGAACTCTGAATGAAATCACTCTTCCTTTCTCAAACTTCCGCAGCAGAAGAAAAGTAGCCCTGTTCCTTATACACAGCACAGACAAAATGTCTCCAGATAAAAACCCCTATGTACTTCTAGATTAGCTGAGATCAAGCAGCTCTAGTTTCAGAATTAACATTATATGTCTAGAATTCATTGGTTATTTAAACAATGCTGGGGTGTTATGTGTTCTTTTAGCACTTCAGAAGTACTTTTCGGTTAATTTTGCTTGGTATTAAAAAAAAAAATGAAGGCACTAATATGACAGAAACCTTGGATTACTGTCACCTAACTTTACCTACCTAAAGGTTAAGCATGTGGACTGCATAGAAAAATAGGCATGTAAAGAAAAATAGGCATCATGAGAGGATGATTGCTTCTATCCACATTTTTTCATTTGCTGTATAGGAATCTAAATGAGAGATGTTTGGATGCCTGAAGTTAGGTGAGGCAAGTGACTCCTAAGGCAGTGCAACTGGACAAAATGCTCTGGTGCAATGATGTATTTGAATTGTGACACTTGGATGCCATGTTGAGATGTTGGTGCAGCCTTACATCTTACTCTTCTGCCTGAACAGAAATGAGGAATTTGAAGTGAAAAATTTGTGTCTTCATGGGTGACTCTTAGAATTTCAGTAGTATGATGTTTCTTTATCAAGTGACAGTTGTAATTGTTGTTTCCCTAATTCTACTGATTGTAATAACTCCCTGTTACCCTGTATGAGTAGAACTTAATTTTTAAATGCTTCTTTTTTTTTTTTTTTTTTTTTTTTTTACTTTGTGGTTGATATCTTTTTTCACGTTTATTTCTGAAAAGATAAGAGTCTATCCAAATATATCTTCATGTGAGTCTTTTCACCTCATGGCATTTAGCTACAGCTCTAACTGCAGATGATCTTGAAGTGGATAATGTAGAAGACCTGGTTCTGCTTTTGCATGAAACACCACATAAGTGCAATAGGATAAGAAGCACACCTTGCATCAGCACAACCCAGGTCTAATTTGCAGAGAGCACTGGTAATAGTAGGAAAGGAATTGGTTTTATATTCTCAGTCTCTATCTCTTTTAATGGGATTGCCAAAACTATATCAGATGTAACATTGCTTGGACACTTGCTGATCTGAGACTGTCATGTTTCTGTCTGTATTAATGAAGCATCATTTGATATTTTCTGTTGTTTGTAGTTCAGTTTGTTGATATTTGAACCAGTATCCTAGCACTGAAAGATGCATGTCATATTACTAGTTTCTCATATCCACTGTTTTTGTGATCAGCTTGCATGTATTACCCACTGACGCTTCAGTCTGAACAGACTCACTTGCATGTTGAGCAATTACACTAGCCTCCACCATACAAAAAATAAATTTGCAGTGTTGGAAGGGAGCTGTTGATAACAAAACAGCATTGTGGGCTGCTGGAGCTTTTCCAGTCTTCCTCGTGAGTCCTGATGCTGCTACTTTAAAAATTGTGTATGCTCTGGAAGATGCCAAGTGCTCTGGCAAAATGCCCTGTATGTTGTCTAAATGACTCAAATATCCAAGGAAAATTGTACCAAACAATATTCAATCAGCTAAGAATAATCAGGAAAAAAAATTACATCTCAGAACAAAGTATTTACCTACCCCAGATGTGCGAAGTGCCTCAGCCATATCTGTATCACAGCTATGGTACAGCCGTGTGGTCTGAAGTATGAGTCATTTAACGAAGTAAAATACCTTGGTAGCAATGCACACTACATGTGGGTTTTTTGTACTGTGCCTTTTTCTTTATACAATGTATACATAAAACTTTTTTTTTACAGAACAATAACTATTAGTATTACCTTTTTTTTTTTTTTTTTTTTTTTTTTTTCCCTTTAATTGATAAACTTTAAATAAAGGTAAAAGGTGAATGGTCATAATTGTGGCTCAGCCTTCCCAACTGCATTGGGATAATGTGGTTTGGAATCTGTTTCTAATGTGAATGCCAAAACAGCTTGCCAAAGCATCAAGAGTAAGTGGATTAAATTTTTTTGTAAGAGATGGGGGGAGTGCTACCATCCATTGGAGTCAAAACAGTATCAGTCTGATTTAGAATTAGGCTGGGAGGGGGGAGCATTCCTGCACAGAGTACCTTGGCTGAAATCAGCTTGTGTCAAGGACTGACTTCTGTCCTAAAGAAGGAATAAATGGCTGTTTGGGCTGGAAAGAGGAGAAAGGACTGTTGTTTCTAGTATGAGAAAGCTCTAAGTAGTGTATCATGCTGCCGCCAATATGAAGTCACTTAGAAAGCAAACAAACTGTGTTTTATTATGTTGTTCTGTGTATATTTGACACTCCTCAAACAGAAAATATCTGGAGATTGAGGCAGCCTGTGGAGAGAAAGGCTTGATTAGTTTTCTGGCTGCAAGCGTGATTTCTACTGGGAAGGGCTAAAAATGTACTTCTAAAAAGAACTGGCCTGTCAGAACCCAGGCTTCCATTATGCCATATTGCTTCCTCTGTTCTCTTTTATTTTGTGTGTTGCTAGGTATATGATGGTTAGAATTGTGTAATGTAACTTTCTGTAATCTTTACCTTTTTTGAGAGATTATTTTTAGTTTCTAATTTGAAACAGTCTTGCTTTAGTTCTGTGCAGTGTGAAGATGTCTAGATATTCAGGTTGACAAGTAAATTTTCTTTTCCTTTTTTGTCTTTTTAGGAGGCTTGTGTGTGTGTTGTAGTCTAGCTTCTGATATTCCAGATGAAATAATGTACTCCATATATTTTTTACATAAAGGTAAGATTAGCCTGTTAAGTTAAACTTTATTTTGGAGAACGTTACTTTACTGCAAAACAAGCAACTACCAAAGTTTGCAGCCAAACTACTGTGGCTGGTGTTTAAAGGCAGCACCTGCCTTCAGCTGCAAGGTTGACTTTCCTGCTGTAGACTTCCCACCTCATGCTGAACAAATAGCTTCAAACCAGTGGCCTCATGAATGGCTATTAATTTGGTCCCTTATTTCTAGCCAGACTTTCCGGCGTGCTGAGCACAAACATCAGTGAAATCTGTGAGAGCTTGCAGGTGTGTTGTACTTATGCCATAAGGCATTTGTATGGTAAATAGAGCCAACAGCTCTTCCCTTCAATGTCTGTTCAGAGTTCTAGTTCAACATGTCATTTTCACAGCAAGAGGTGCGACACTTACTGACTGTACGAATAGTTGCTATGTAAGTAGTGCTCTAGCTCTTAATCTTAAGACCTGTTTTTTTTTTTTCTTGAAAGGAATAAAGAACATTGTTTTATTCTGATCAGAATAAAAGTTGCCATTAGCAAGATCTTACTCATTTGATACATGGGAGAGAGAGGCAAGTTATTTCTCAGCTGAGAAGCTGCATATGGAGTATGGAGTAACTGTGTTCAAGTGGACGTCATACTTCTGTTTTACTTGATTTGCTTTCTTGTGTCAGGAAACTTCATATGTCAGAACTGCACTAACATGTTGCTTTGCTGCTGGAATGTGGGATTGAATGAACTGCATTTTTGTGTTCTTGAAGGCATTAACATGTTGGAAAAGTCCATTCTGGGTGTGGCAGCAATCTGCATTGTACTGTTATGAAAGGCTGATTTCCCCAGGTGTACTTGATGTGTAGCTGAAGGGTGGTTGCATTGCTTGGAGCCAGCCATGGCCCTTCAATGTCCCTACCCAGAAGAAACTGAGTGTAAATATGGTGACATTAACCAGCTGCATCTGAAATTACTTTCAAGGAATGGCGTTATTTGGTGCAGCACTGTTTGTGGATTCATGAAAGATTCATCAGTCATGAGGGAATTCTGAGACTGGTCCTGAGATGACCCACAGAAGCAGTGGTATATCAGGTCCATAAACCACATTTTGGAGGCACATAAGGAGTTCAGCCTGTGCTGCAGCATCTGTAAACTTAGAAGTTTCCTGCCCACTGTTAAAACAGTCACTTGATGTAGTATAAACACTAAAGTCACGATGTTGCATGTATATTCTGCAGTGCTGGTATTACCTTGCATATGTTTGCATTGGCAAGTAGCAGGGTGGTGATCATGAGTATACTGACTGATTGCAAGCAAACTCCAGTCAATATCTTGTGTGAAAAACTTTGGTTTAGATGCCCCTTCATTGGTAGGGTTGCTGTTGGTCTTGGAGGTCTTATTTTTTTTTTTTTTTGCAGCACACAGATAGTGCATATCTCACTGCAAGGGTCAGGTATCAAAGTCCTGGATGAGTGGCTGAAGCATGGCTTATGATCTACCTTTTTTATTTGGTGGTCCTGTGAACTGTGGATCTATCATCTTATCTTGAATTTTCATGCACTTCTAAGTAGCATCCTGATTATGACACCATTCAGCCTTTAGGATATTGCAGCATGGACATTTAGGGGCCTGTTACTGTCTTCTTAGTTGTTTTAATCTTCAGCTTTTCTCAGAGGTCAAGGAAGTTTGAGGGCTCTATGTCATTTTTACGGGATGCCAGAAGAAGTATGGTGCAAGTCTAGAATAAAATAACAGCTGTGCTGATGCAAAGCCCATGCAAACACAGCATGTCTGAAATTAGTCTATGTTTAAACAGAGCTGAACTAAATTACAGCAAAAGGGCATGCAGATAAACAAACTGGAAATTCTTTAAAGCAGTTGAAAGAGCACCAAAATGCGAAGCACAGCTCCCTAAAGGTTTTGTTTGGTTTTTTTTGGGGGGGAGGTATTTTTACACAAGCTTGCTCTGGGGTAGAATGCTTCTTTAAACACAAACATAGGCTGTGCAGTGCATGGCCAGTTTCCACATACTAAAGAACTGCATTGTGTGGGTGCAAGTCTACTAAGTATGCAGCAGCTCTGTTTAGGATGAAGTCTATCTGTGCAGACAAACCCGTAAAGCAGTCTAAAATATCCCTGTTTGGGTGTATTGGCACAGCTGAAGTTTCTAGCTATAAAATCATACTTGGCTTGTAACAGATGGTGTTTACTGTTTGGGTTTTTAAAAAGTATTATTATATTTCCCCAGGTTACAACAAAACTTTTACAGTTTCTCTAGAAAGAACAGAATCTCATCAATTGAAGGAAGTGGCCTTTATGAATCTTGGTAGGTTACTTGTGCTACTTCCCTGCGTGCCTGCCATTCTCTGTCCCCAGCAGGGAGACGAATGGCTAACCCTTCCCTAGAAGGAAGGGATTTTTTTTTCTTGACTTTAAGTAATTGTGTTATTTTTCTGCATTTTTGCTTAACTTTTATACTTGGCATTTGATACTGCAATACCTCACTACTGCTAAGCAACTTCCTCTGAAATTGCTTCAGTCTGCTCTGGAGATCAGCTGCTGAGTTCCTGAGTGTCTCAAGCCTCTTGAATCCTCCTCTGGAAACCCAAATGTATTGCTAGTGTTTCCGGTGTTAATACAACAGCAGCTTTTAATTAACTCCTTTTATATTTCCTAGATATAATCAATTCCATCAGAGAGAAGTGGGCCAAGATGAGAATCATGTGAAGCAGCCTCTTAAAGCAAATAAGTGAACAAGTGCTAAATTGACCACTGTTATTTCTTTAAATAGACTATTATGTGGCTGCTTATTTGCCTGGCCAGTTCCTGCACCTCCTGAATATTCAGCATCCTGACCTGCTGTGCTATAGTTTATTTCTGACAGGTATAGTAAAACTGCTGCTTGAAGTAATTTTATTGTTGTAGTAGAAACTTGTTCAGATCTCTACATGAACGTTGTATTTTTCAATGTTTTCTTTATTGCACAGTGTGCTGAAGAAGGAGAGATTGAAAAAATAAGAATGGTATTTTTGCACTTTTCATTTTAAAAAGAGAATCTGAAGTGTCATTTCATACTTCATCTATTACGTACTTTTAGCTTGTTATGAAATGGAAGACCTTTCACTGAATTTGAAATTCTTTGCCTTGGTTTCATAGTTTCCCTTCCCCCATCTTTTCACATGCTTCTTGGTCCTCCACTGTTCTCAAATTTCACATGGAGATGTAAATTTGATTTTACATTTCCTTCCTCCAATTGAGTCGCTCTAAATGTGTGTGTTTGGAGGGTGTGGGGAGAGGAAATCTGTGTTTCCTTCACCTGATCAGGCTGATGCAATTTGATTTAGTCTCATCTGAGAGGCATGTTATTTCATTTCCAACAAACATGTCTTTATGGGAAGTGGGTTATTTTTAGAAGTGGGGGGCCTTTGTTTGAAAACAGAAAAGTGTTCTTCTGATTGGGTGAAGGAGGGGTGAGTAGTGGGAACTGGTGCAGGGGCAGCATCACAGGAAGCTAATACCTGTTGTACATAGATAATGAAATACTGCTCTGCTAGAAATGAGTGGAAAGCATCACTGTTGCATGGTGGACCCGATTTCTCTCATGCAAAGGGTCTGGAATCCTACTGTATAATACTGTGGTGATGAACCTTAGACTAGCATAATTAAAGTAATTTTGATTTGATGCTTCTATCAGTAACCATAGAGCAGAACTTTCCTGTTCTGGCCTTTGGGATTAATGGTAACAGGTCCATCAATACAAGTTTGTATCATGATTCTGCATGTGAGCAGTTCTGAACTGTACCAATATGCTTAGATGCTAATTCTAGTGTTGAATTTCTATTACTAGCCTTGTGCCCTTCTCTGTTCCATCCTGTGTTGTCTTATGACAGCATTGTGAGCCTCAAATCTGTACACCTTCTCTGCTTCAGCAGTAGGGAGGGAGAGAACTGAGTATGGACTGTGCTCCTCACTTACTTCTTTTGCCCAGCCACACCATTCCTCTCCCTCTTCAGCATAATACCAGGCAGCTAGCACAAGAGGCAGACTCTTCCTTACTGCTGGGGACCTGGGAGTCGTAATAGAAATACTGGTAGCAGCCAACTTTCATGTTCTTAGACCTTTTTATTCTCAAACCAATGTTCTTAGGTGAGGATGCAAGAATTGACATGTTGCAGAACTGCCCCATCCAATCTCCACTCGTGTCAACAGTCTTGGATTGCCGCGCAGGAAGTATGTATGCCGTGAGCATCAGTGACAGCGCCTTACTACAGTTCCTACAGAACAGCAAACAGGACGGTGAGAGATTGGCGGCTCTGCATTGTGCCCTGCTGTACTTCCAACACACGGAAGACTTGGAAATGCAGGTGGGAAAAGAACCTCCTCTAAGGTTTTTTCGGTGACCGATGTCTTATACAAAGCAGGGGCAGGGCATGAATGATGGCAGCCGAAGAAGAAACGTCCTGGTTCACATGTACCTTTAGGCAGTGCCATGGGGCTCATCAGCTGGGCTGCCCAAGTGTCTTTATTGGTCAAGGCTGTCCTGAAACATTTATCTCTGTATCACTACTTCATACAAAATGTTACTACCAAAACCAAAGTTTCTATAGTCTTTTACTACACATGCTTAAGCAGAGGGATGTGACAAACTCCCCATTCTCATTCTTACAGATTATTTGGTGGATTTCTGACAACCTGTCAACGTGTCATTCTTTTGACCCCATTCAAGAATTTATCATTGGTAGGTATTTCCTGCATACCCAGCTTCCCTGCATACCCTACTTGTGACAGTGTCACAAACCACCTCTCTTATGTCCAAACTTTGTGGTTATGATTTATGTTAACTGACCTGCATTTTGTGGTGTTAGAGATAATATCAGTAGTTTAGAAGATAGATAGATCTCTCAAAATCGGATTGGCATTAAAACTTTTCAAATGCATTCTTCTGTCTAGTGAGACAAGTAGATTTATTGTTATTTTGGGTCACTGGAGAGCAAATTCTCCATCTGGCTCCTGTCTTGGTTGTCTGGGATGTAAATAATTGAGATTGGAGTGGAGGAACAAATCTCCTCTAGCCTAGCCCAAACCATTTTTTCATAAGGATTTGGCATATCATGATATTCTTGTCTAATAGCTGATTCCCCAGCCTAGCCAGTGCGTGTCCTGTGCCCTGAGCCTTTGTACAAAGGACCCCTGCAGCGCTGAGCTGTAGCCAAGCAGCTGACCCGGCCCTGCAGCCATCTGGTCTTCTCTTCCTCCTTTTGTGCACAGAATGGGACCAGTTCCACCATGGAGGAAGCTGTTTCAGAGAGAGCAGCAGGATTTGTCCCTAAAAAAGTGTTAGACAAGGAACTGACCATGAAGCCTACTCTTGTTAACTGATACTTATAAGGGCAAAATTGTATAAACTCTTTTTACATTGCATTCAGCCTCTCTGTACTGCAGAATGTGTCCAGAAACTCACGACCTGGATAAACTTTTGCCCTACACATCACTGCTTGACTGGATTGGGGTAAGATAACAGCTGGTACTTCAGTTAATAGCTGGAGGGGGAGTTTGTTTTTCCTCCCTTAATACAGCCTTTAACTCGATGCCTTATCTTTTCATAGACATGCTCTAAATCCATCTCTCTGCTTTATGCCCATTTTATTTTGGCAAGTCTTAGCCATAGTGGTGTTTTCCGCAAGTCCTATTTTTTGTCAACAAATAAAAGCATTTATAAAACAAGAACAGCTGCTGTAACTGAATGGATGATTAAATCTCTGTTTTCATAGTGAGGTATTAATGTATCGCTTATCCTATAAGGTTTATAATGAATACAGAATATATTTAACTAGCAGAATCATGCAGTTATTTCCAAGACAAACAGTATCAGTAGAATTAAGATTTATGAGTAAGTTTGCAGAAGTAAAATAACTTTAGGCAAGACTTTACAGTTAGAGCAAATAGTTTATTTTAATTTCTCTGATCTGACACTGTTCTAATATGCTATCTTTTTTTAAAATGAGATGACTAAAAGAAACATATTCCCTATTTCTTTTTGGCAAAACTGAATGTACAGTTTTGGTTAGCTAACTAGTTTCACAAAGGAAATGGGTAATGAAGATTCACTGAGATACCAAACAGTCCCATGCTTTATGCTAAATGATTTACATTCTTATAATTTGTCTGTATTTATAGATTATCCCTGGTGTAACATGTGCAACAGACATTATTTCTCTACCTGTGTTAGAGGTAAGTTCCAGTATAAAGCCACATTTGTGTTTGCAGACTAGGAGCTTTTCCTTTGGGCGGGTGGAGATGTGCTAAGTACTAATGAAGCAGTGTCCCCACAGTCCTATCCAAAAATAGGGGTGAACAGAAAATTGCCCTGTTTGAAATGACTTATGCATTTACTAAAATGTCAGTTATTCAGACTGATGTTTGCTAGCTCAAAGATGATTTTTTTTTTTCCCCCTTTCTGAAGAGACTTTTTCCATTCAACAGGGAAGATCCTCCAAGAATTAAGTCTTGTTAGATTTGATTGATACCTCTTCATTTTGTGACTTTGTTAGCTGGAGGTAGGTTTGGCACAACAGACATGTAGGATTTCCACATATCTCTACATATCCCCACTTTGAAGGGTATTTCATTGTGCTGCTGTTGGTACCAGTGGTTCATGACCCTCTCACTTTGTTTTGTCCAGAGCATCCTGTGGTTGCACTGATGTCAGGTCTTTGGCTTAGCTAAATCTAGACAAATTCCTACACAGCCTGGAGGAGGTGGTGAGCTGCATGGGGAGAGCACATGCTATTTGGGTAGGAAATTGTACTTTCCGTTGAAAACAGCGTGAATGATTCTTCCCGTCTTCCATTCCACTCCCTCAGCTCCAGTTTAGAGAAATACTTGTAGTTTTCCTAAGTGTTCCCCTACAAAATCTGAAGGAGACTTTTAGTAAGCAGCTTGCTGTGGAGGGCTAATGGACTCAACTGTACCAGCAACACATGGGAGTAGACTCTGGATACATGACAATATTGTTTCATGTACCACTTTAACGAGGTCTTTCCTCCCTAGTGCTTATAAAGCTTCACCGTTCACAAAATCTTTTACAATCAGTGAAATTACCCACTACTCATTCCACAACAGTGCATCACAGCTGTGCTGCTGCAGATTCACATGACTGCTGTCAGGGAATTGGGCTTTGCATGCTTTGCTTGGGAAGGCTGCCCTGAGAGCTGGGACACCTGGGAAAATCAGATCTTGAGAAAAATTGTTGCTAGATAATCCCTGTAATTCACTGAGGTCAAAGTTGGCAGGCCTTTAATTTGTCTGAGATTGAACCTCAAGCCCCTGGGGGTAAATGCCTTTAGCAGCTATACTTCCTGATTGTGGAACTCATTTCCTATTTCTGTCTGAAACCTAAACAGATTGAAAAGGTCAGAGTTGAACGAAAGACAAATATTTCCTGCTACTTTTGACAGCAAATTGCTCTGACTCTTGAGTGAGGACAAAGATGATAATATACAGGTTAAGGTTTAGTGCTTTGGCTGCTTTGTACCACCCCAGTGACACAAACCCACCATGGCTCAAGTTCAGGTGGTCAGTTGTTGGTGTTTCAGTTGGTGTATGTTGCTGGCCTCACAAGTCAGACCCTGGTCACAAATCTGGTCTTACAAGTAGTATTTCTTTTGCAAAGATTTTATGGCATTTCACAGAGGCAATGGTGAATTGTTGCTTGAGAAGCTTTTTGGAGTTCTCAAGCTCATGAGTTGTTGAGAGCCTTTGGGAAGGATATGTCCATACTCACAAAAAAAAAATGATGGGTTTTGGGTAATAGGTGTATTTTTATCACTAAATTACTGTTCAGCAAGAGATATTGAGAGAGTCTGAGAAATGGGGAACAGTCGGTGCAATTGTCAAAAAACTACATAAGGATTGCAATTAATAAGAGTGGGTTTTATTTTTTTTTTTTTTCCTTTTAAATACAGAAACCAGACTTAAAGGGTGCAAACAGGCTTGATCAGAAGGGGAGGAAGAAGAAGGGAAGAAAATAGGAGGAGGTCCAGGGGAAGAGTGAAAAATGTGTAGTGCAGGCAATTGCCAGAGAGATCATCCCAGGAAAAGGCAGCCTCTCCCTCATGCTGTGCTGAGCCACTGGGGTGACGAGTGGCGTTTCAGTTAGTTACACAGCTCTCGGAATACCGTCACTGCTGGGGAGACATAGCACTACAGTTTCCCCGGAGAGGACATATAGCTCTTAAAGGTCATTGCCACCCTGCCTCCTTTCAGAGGGGTATAGCAGAGAGCTCTTTTTGTCTTCAGTTGAAAAACTACTAATGAAAGGCTTCATGGGAGCTTTTCATGGATTGCAACCTGGTTGGGCCTTGCTTTGATTTATGGCAATACAGTGTCTTTTAGGTGTTCATGCTTATGTATTAATTCTTGACTCTCTCAAAATGTCTGCAAAATATATACCACCTGAGACAAAGGAGCCTTCTCTTTCTAGTCTTTGCTCTGATGATCCTCAAGAAGTAACAGATTTAATTAAAATAATCCTTTACTTTAAACTTTTGACTTTTTAATGAGATCTAATACAGTGCAGGTTTTCAGTGGTGTCTGCTTTTAATTCTGAAGTCTACCACTTCCTGTTACAGATTCAGTATATGAAAGAAACTTGCTGTCTTGCTTCCCCCCTGCCACACATCAAACAAAATCCATTGTGGCCTGAATGCAATTTTGCAGTGGTGGTGCTGTCGCAGTTGCATAAATTGGTCACTAGATGATACCCTTAGGCTATATCCTTGATATTTCTCTGATTTCATATTGGTAACATTTAGGCAACATACTGTGGTAGTAGGTTGTAGATCTTGTTAGTTAGCTCCAGCAGGGTGAACATATGGTGCCATATGCACTCCACGTTCCCAGCTGCTAAATATAACTTAACATGATGCAAAAATTAGATTTATTTTTCTCTGCTACAGCTACAACAATAAAGCGACAATCAGCACTGGCAGCAAGAGGGATTGGCTGGCAGGATTGAGTCTCTGCAATTTATTTTCATTGGCAAATTGTAGTTTATAGTAGGAAGTGTTTTTAAAGGCTTCTGAGTCTTTCTTCTAAAGTTATTGTCATTGGAGAAAAGTAGGGAGGAAAGAGCAAAATCCAACATGTTAATGCAAGATGGAGGAATATTGTGAAGTCAAACTTCTCTTCCTTCAAATATCACTACTGCAGTGTCTGTATTGGGAGACAGATGTATATAAAGAGGGGCAAGAACAGCTAGTCTCTTGGTTTTTAAAACTGCCAGAAAGAATTGCCTTAATCTCATCTCTTCCTCAGCAATGATAACATCATTCCCGCTTTATAAACAGCGGCTTCAAATCTTTATACCCAGTCCAAGAATTAGCTCAGGAAACCAGTGTGTGTTTGTTTGGGGTTTTTTCCTCCTGTCTGTTCACAGCTGAGTCTAAATTAATTTCAGCATTAGAGTCAAAGGTATTAGAACTGCTATGGAAATGTTTGGTTTTTGTTTCTTTTCTGAGATGAGGCAATGTTACTTGAGGTTGGCAAATGGATGTTTGCAATGTAAGTATTAATGCAGCTTGAAAAGAGTGGGAGCCTGCAGCTGCCAGGGTTATGGTGGTGTTCCTCTATTTGGAACTACTAGAAACCCGGAATGGGATTTATTTGACCAAATGTAAACATTCACATCTAAGTCAGTTGCCTAAGGCTCCTTTTAGTCAGTGGAAGTCTAGGCAGTAGGGCTAGTGTAGTCTGTGGTGCAGTCCTTCCCATCCCACCCCCAACATGTGAAATAGGTCAGCTGAATTACGACCTGGAAGTACTCCTTTCTTCCAAGTGACTTAAAAGTATCCTGAGGTGGCAAAGTATCTGCATTACAGGCACCAAATCTTGACCTCAAATTTAAGTAAGTGCTACCCCTGCCATCAGATCAAGGAAATAAAAGTACTGGGGAAAAAATAGAGTAACTGCTTCTAACTTTTTTCACTTAGATTGTTATGAAGCTACATTAATCACAGTTCTTTCCAATCGCTTAGTTGGGAGGGTGATTAGGTATTTCTTGAAGAGTGCAATCTGTATTCATGCTTTCCCTGCAATACTTTGCAGTTCCAAAACTCCAAAGGCTTCTGGGAGAAACTCAACTCAAACTTGGAGAGTGTGAAGTATGCAGAGCCACACTTGCATTACCACAGTAACGTGCTCAGAAGAGAATGGCGTAACCTTTCAGAAGAGGTAAATAGGCATGTACCAGAACAGTCTCCAGAGCTGCCTCTGAAGTGGATGTTTTAAAGCCAAACACATAAGTGTTGGCTTTTTTTTATTTTGAGGATAAAGAAATGGGCATCTGATTGAGAAGCAAAAAGACTTGCAGTCATTTTACTTATAAGGTGATTGCCTGTAAGTCTTACTCTATTAAAATAATGTAAGAAACTAAACAAAAGCAGAGTTTGCATGTACCTGTCTTGCCATGCAGGTTAGATGTGTGTGAGTGCCTATGAGCATGGGTAATTGGAAGGTGGGTTGAAGCCCCACCATGCTTTATTTAGCATTCAGAGGGAAAACCAATTTCATTTTAAATCTGCATTTTATCAGGGAGTATTTTATTTGGCCTTCTACTTTGTTCATTTGGGGATTTTTGTTCGTTTTCACACCAGAGAGAGGAGAGAACCACCACAGCATATTTGAGGAATATTTTTGAAAATGCCAAAAAGTAGGTACTATTTGCTATTACATTTACCCTTTCTTATTTTGTTGAAGCCTGTTGAAGTATTTAATGTGCTATTTAAATAGCTGATTAGGTATCTGATTAGATTATTTTAAGGAAGATTATCCAGCTGAAAATCAGTTACTGAAATCCTTGTAATCACTGCAGCATGATCTGAAATATCCAGGTCTCTAGTGCTAGGGTATTTATGGTAGATGTGAAGAGTTATTCTTATGCAACCTGGACAATTTGAACTTTTTTAGTGCTATTTAATATCTTTATTAAATGTAGTCACATGTACAGTTCTTGAATTTCTTTAGCTGCCTTTGAAAGATCAAAGGGCCATTTAAGCTTTTTAATGTCCTTATCAAATCCTTTAGAGTAATGCATATGAAACAAGCCAATTTTTGTTTCAAACCCCAGGGTGCTTTCTCATCTGGACACTTGGGACTCTGGTAAGTAAAACTTGTCTTGATGTAGGCCTTAGCTGTAAGGTTTATTAGAATATTTCCATCTAGCTGTTGTTGGCTAAAAATACATTGCTCTGTCTGTTTTCAGCACTGAAGAGTCTGAGGCATTAAGATGTGTGGTTATTCAATAGGAAACCATTGAAAATAAGGTTCCTGCTTCATATTAGATCTAACAACATAAGCAGTCAACCTTTGTCTGGCTAAGGATTTCTTCTTCAGGATTTTTCTCCTGGAGCAAAGTTTCAATGATGCCCCATTACTGTTGAGTCTTGTCCACTTATAGAGTTGCCTTTGCAACTCTAAAACTTGTGTACAGTAGGAGATTATGGCTGGTGAAAAAACATGGTGTAGAGAAAGCACATGTAATGAATTTTCCTAGAACCAGGAACACTTGAGTTTGTGATGCTCAGTTCCTCTGTCACAAATAAGTAAAACTGAATTTAGTAGTAAATTATATTTCTGCTGTTCACACACCACTGCCTTCTATGTGTCCTGCCAGTGTGTGCTGTGAAATGATGCTGATCTAAGTGCTGCTCACTCCTTTTATTATGAAGAATTTTCAGCGCATTCATTTCTAGCCCCTAACACCAGTCGTCTGCACCACTGCTGGTTATAGCTATGGACTCTGACTCGGAGGGACTTTGTATAAACTTTGTGGGCCTCAGGTTCGTGTTTTCCAAAGGTGCTTACTGATAAAGAAGTCAGATGTTTAACTGGTACTAGAGAATTTCTAGATAGCTGCCAGCCGGTAACAAGCATCAGTGTAGTATATCTTCCCTGTAGATTTTTCTTCAGGTCCTTTAAAATCAAGCAACACATATCTTTGTGCAGCTCAGTGGTCGACTAAATATATTTCAAGATGAGCAAAGATGACTGGAAAAAACTTTGTAAAAGTTTAGCAGTTGGATATGTAAAATGTTGACTTGATTTTACGCTACATGATGAAATAGGAGATTGTTTTTCTTCCTTTGCTGTTAGTAGACAGGAAGCACTGATTAGGAAATACGGGCTCCTCGATTTCAGTAGTACTGTAACCTCCTTCCAGTTAGTTAGGAAAGTTGAGTTCTTTTACATAGCAGTGTGCAAATCTAAATAACAAGCAGCCAGACCATGGGAGGGAACTAGGAAAGTGGGAGGTGATTCTGTGGAGTATTTACTTTCTGTCTAGCCATTTCCCTGGAAAACCCATGCAGCTGTTTTACCTTGTTTGTTTGTAAATGACAAGATCTAACGAGCACATTCATTTGCACTGATGTTACCAGGTGTGCATCTGCCCTCTACTGAATCACCACACTGTGATAACTCTTACTTAAATATCAAAGAAAAAAGTAAAGCAAATAAAAGTGGTATGACAGGCTTGTGTTCTCTCTGTGTTAAGCACTTGAGGGGGAAGATGGCAGATACAGGGTTATTTTGCACTCGTCAGTTCTCTCTTATGCTGTCCTTGATTCTTCACTACCTTAGTTGTGTGAGTAGATCAAACCACTTCTGTATGTTTGTGCATGTTTCTAAGTACTTTTGAAACTGGTTGAAGCCTCGTGGTATTTCCTATAGTGTCGTGTCCTTGAGTGATTTTTTATTCTGTTTATTTCAGAGGAAAGGCTGGTACCACTCTTTCAAGAGGAGGATTATCAGCAGCAATTACTGATGGGACTGGTATGTGCTTTTGTCACATGTGCACTAGAGGACGCACAGCCTCAACAAATGTAAAGAATAAGCTTATAAATTCCAGTGCTAAGTAGAAGCTCACTCAGAGTAGCTATAGGACAAACATGGTACTTCCTAAGTTTTAGAGTTCGTAGTCATGATAGCATCTTAACAGGTCATTATATCATAAGGCATAGGGGGAAAAACAGCAATGGAAAGTTGATTTGTCAAAATGCTTTTTCCCAATGCAACTTTTCTTTGGCTAGAAACTGTTATCCTGGAGTTCATGTTTAATCTGTCGGTTATTTTTGGACTAATTTACATCCTTAAAACATGTATAAATGTTTTCCCCACACACTACTTTCCTCAAAGAGAAGATCACAGATCTTCTTTCTCCTCAATTTAACACCTTTTTTCTGTCTCCTTTTCCTTCTACCTCGCTCCTGGGACTGCTATAGTTATTCTGAGGTCCCTTCCTCTTTTGCACTGTTTACACAGATGATCTCCCTAAAGGATCGACCATCCTTATGCTTCTGGGTAGTAAATCCAATCTCAAATCCCTGCCTGTCCTCCCTCTGTCTAAATACACATCTTCACTTATCTCTTGTTCTCTTAATATTAAAACCAAATAAAACTCTTCAGCATGTACTGGAAGGTCTCAGCACTGCATCTGTGAAGAGCATATCAACACTGTCCTGTCCGTCAAAATCTAAGGCAAATTTTCATTCTTTGCGGTCTTGTCCCCTTGTTTCCAAGTTTTGCCTCTTGGTCTCTGAAGCTTCTTTACATTCCCTCCCTGCAGTTTTTTCAGACAGATCCAAAAAGCAGGTCACTGCTGCCCTTACTGTATGCTTTCCTAATACCTATATTGCTGTCCTGACACACTGAGATTAATCTACTTGTAAACACTTTGAGACAGAGATTTTTATTTTCCTCAGTTTTACTCTGAGCTTTGAAACAAATAATACTTCATAGTAATTCTCATCAAAGAACCAGCATGGACTTGAGTTGCAATCCAAAGCTACATGAGGTCAGAGAATATTTCAGAGAGGAGGAGGTAGGGACTGGCATGAACTGTATGATAACAGACACCTGATTTTAAAGACTTTACAATTAATGTTTAATCTGAAGTTCCCATTAATCACTTAGGTTCTCAGGTTCTTGGGTACTACCACAAACTGTAATTGTGTTGGTTTTCTCTATTGTAAAATCCCTCGGGTTTATTTGTATGTAAAAAATTACTTACATTCTCAGGATTCAGTGTTCATATTAAAATCCTTCTTTCACCCTGTTCACTTGGCTTGACCCAGAGCGGTGCAAGAACTGTAAGCTTTTTCTCTTCGATGTCACTGAAAGTTCAACATAGCACTTATTTTGCTGAATTTGCACCAAGTAACCATTTTGAATATTCACATCTGCTGTTGAATTTGTCAAGATAGTATGGTAGCTTGGGATCTCGCTCTGGAGTTTCGTAACAGAGAAACCTTTTGTTGTGCTAATGCCTGTTGATCAGGCCCTGAACCTGCTGGAGTTTTTACATCTACTTGAAGATGCCCAAGGACACTGAATTATTGACTTTTTTTTCTAGATGGTTGCTCAGCTAAAGGATCACCTTATGAGACATCTACAGTATGTAGGAAAAAAGAAGATTGACCAAATTGTTTTGGATTACGTTGCAAACCTGGTTAGTTTGATTTCCTGGTCACTATTGTGAGCAAGCATTTATTTGTTGAGATTAGTGTCTTGTGTATGTACTGTGTGTGTATATAGCATGCATTTGATGGGAGGAGATTGTTTTTAAGATGTTTAATCATATTTTGATGTTTAATATTGTATATATTGATAAAGGAAATAATAATACTTAAATAATATTAAAAAGAGTTGTATTGGTCACTCAGAATACGGAAGAAACAGTTCCCTTTACAGCTTGTACAAATATGGTCTGCTCTCAGAAGTGAAAATGTGAACTCATCCTGAAAGTTGAAAGAATGGTCTTTAGATGCATTTTGTTCATGTAGAATACATTGCTGCATGTAATGAAAGTGTCATCAGGGGAAATACAGATCAAGAAAAAAATATTTCTCTATTATGACATGAGAGTAAATCTTCACTGCTCCTACATACTGACTTTGATGGGCTTTTTGTGAGTGTAACAGAGACAGTTTTGTCTGAAGAAAGCCATGTAAACTACAGTGAAAATTTGCTTTCCAAATCTTACTTTTCTGGCTTTCATCCTCATAAGAGAAACTTTTAAAAAAAAAGTAAGCTGTAAAAACTGTGGCTGTTGTGCATAGAAATTATTGTACCTGGTTTTGTCTGTCTCAACATCAGGTCCTTTAAGTGCAGAATGCAGAGTGCACAAAAGCTCACATGGCAACTAGCAAGTCAAGTACTTTGTGCTAGCCCTGCCACACTGTTCAGTAAAAACTCCCCACAGTGCTGTTTTCTAGGGAAGGAAATCTTGGAAAACTTTCTCGAGGCTACTGGTGCCTGCATCTTTTCAGAAGTCCTGTGTAAATTGGCTGTGCTCTCAGTGTTACGGTGTTCTCTGACCCACTGCAGCTTCCACTGAGGTTACTGGCTTTTCTATTCAGGCCTGGCTCTATAGCTTGACAGGTTGTTTCACTGGTAATTGTCAGTCTGTTTTCTGTATCTTTACAGGAAAGAAATTAAAACTAGTGGCTGATTAAAATAGGGAACAGTACAGCATGAACCAAAGCTTTGTACCTGAAAACAGTGCTGAATAAAAGCACAAGTGAAATGTTTATTTTCCTTTCATTCATTTTCCAGTTATCATTTGTTCATTCGTAATGTAAACTAAGATAAAATATGAAAACACTTATCCAGCCTTGATCTTCAAGACTAAATTACCGCAGACTAAATCTTACAATCAAAACAGATCTGAGCCCTCTCCATCAGCAAACTCTCAGGATTAATTTTTTTTTTTTTTTTTTTTAATATCACTAAAAGTAAGAACCTTAGCTAGAAACTCTTACGTCTTAAATCTTTCTATATCCTAAATGTTTGGAAAGTTCTTCAGGGGAATGAACTGTTTTGATTATTCCGACAGTTTTCTGTAGCATCAGCAGCATGTAGCTGAGCTGCTGAAACTAATGGAAGAGGCTTGAAGTTATTTGCTTGTCTGCTGTCATAAAATATTTTTTTATTACATTCAGGAGCAAAGGAGTGGCTGAGAATAGGGCTCCGTGGTGTGTAGCCACTCTATAAATCAATTGCAGCTGAAGTCGAAGTAGCCAAGACATGGGAGCATCGACAGTTTCTCATAAAACAGGCTAGCAGCTGATTGCTGTCAGAGAACTGGGTGTATTTGTGTACAGAGAAGTAATGTGGGGAAGTGTGAATGAAATGTCCCAGTGGGAATTCCCTTATTTGCTGAGGAGGTCTGCCGAGTCTGAATATGGCTGGTGAACAGTCCACGTGCCACCTAGCCTGCAGCAGTTGCTTGTATGTCCGTATTCTCTCTCGCTCCTGCAATCACTTTGTCTTAGCTTTACTCCCTATCTGTTTCTCTCTCTCTCTTCATTTCAGTGGGGCAGGAAAAGGGGAGAAATAACTTACAGAAGCAGTATGACATTTGCTGCCCTGAGAGCAAGCGGAAAGGAAGGCAGAGTGAACAGCCAGGCTGTGGCACAGGAAGGAGGCAGACCAGAATAAACTGTTGAAATTTCTCTGGAAGTCACTGCAGTGGCTGCACCTTTTTCACTGATGTCTGTGGCTAGCTACCGTCTGATGTGGTTTCAACTTTAGAGCAATAGAAGACAGGCACCATTTGGATTTGAGTTTCCTCAGAAGGAGGAGGACTGCCTCGTATTCCCTGCATGGGAGGGGGATCTGGAAGACAGACATCAAGACCTTGTCTCATTCCCTTTTCACGTTTGCCCCTGATTCTTTTCTTTGACTGCATCCATTTCTTTCCTGTAGAAGCAGCCACAGGAGCTGAGCACTTGCGGTTCCAAATAACACTAGGGGAACTTCAGTCTACTCAACACCATTGCCTGAAAATGTAGATGATTCAAGACAGCAGGCTGCTTTGCAAATGTCAGCCTAGGCCCTACTACATGCATTGCTTCACTGTTGATCATGAGTTCTCTCACTAGTTTAGAGCACTCCAAGGGAAATGGCTTCCAATACTTGCCCAGGAAAACCTCATATTATAAGTCTTTGTTACTAAATTAAAAATGGCTTTGCCATGAAGTATGGGTTTAGCTCTTGACTTGCATCCCCCAGAAACACACTGCTAGCTTTGGGGAGGAAGCTGCCAGTACTCCCTCTATAAAACAGATGTTTCCTTTCTCTCAGGCACGTTACTCTGTGTGTTAGATACTGAAAAGAGTTTGAGCCATGGCTTCTCTTTCTGATGTATTTTCTACGATGTCCATTGTAGATGGTAGATACTGATCCCCGGATTGAGTAGTGCTGTTGCTGAGGGTGTCATGTCTCAGGCATACATGTATTTAAGTATGTTGTGATAGCTAGGTTGACTATGACTTAAGTTGTTGTCTTTCTATACCCTTTGAAAGCCATACAGTTTCCTGTATTGTTAAGTAAAGAATATTGATTCTAGAGTATCATAACCATGAAAACAATTTTTGTTGCACAAATAATAAGAGGTGATTTTGGAGTTTGTAAGCACGTTCCCGTCATCTCAACACTGATCTTCAGATCCAGCTGTAGCTCCTGCTACAGAGGCCTTAGCTGCAGCCTATGTGCTGGCCAGAGATGAAAGTCATTCTGGCAGCAGGTGTGATTCTTGTGACCCTTCTCTGAAAACTGGAAATCACTTATTTCCTGGAAAAGGAGTGGAGAAAACTTGCCATGCTCCAGGAAGATTAAACTGGAGCTTTCCACTGCATCCAGAAAGTATGAAGATGGAAAGTATTAGGTGTTTTTTCTGCATCAGGTAGCTGTGCAAGGCTGGATGGAGTGGTGGAGAGTGGAGGGAAAAGGTACTACCTTGTAGAGCTTTCTGGCCAAGGTATGGAGGAGAGCACTCAGGAGCACTGTTGAAGACCAATACTCCTGTTCTGGCCTTTGCATATGAACCTCTCCTGTGTGTCTTGCTTCTCTCTTGCTCAGAGCCTGTGACAAGTTAGAGGTTGGAGAGGGCATAGCCTGAGGAGAAAAGAGAGTGGGGAAAAAGGGTTCCTGGATTCTGGCCATCTTGGGGTAAAAAAGGTTTGTAACTTCTTGTGACACCTCCCTGCAAAGCAGGGGTCAGACTTGCTTCCTGAGAGTTTCCTGGGATTGACTGATTAGTGCACTTTGAGGCCCAAAGATAAAAGGCATAGAGGAAGTGTCTCAATTCTGTTACTGAGATATGGAAGTGGTTACATGTGACAACCGTGAGGGGCTGGCTAGAGGAAGTTATTTCAACTCCTTCATGTGTGGTTTCTCTCAGCTGCAGAAGCTTAGAAGGCCCCAGTGAGAACAGGGCATGTGGCTTTTGTATACTGACAGTCTGTACTGGCGGTCAGCCTGGGAGCACAAAGCAGCAACAATATGGACCAAAGGGTTGTTTTACTTCACTGTGAACAAAAAGAAAACTCAATAGAGAAGGAGAGGCATTTGCTTGTGTCATGTCTCCTTGCCAGGACGATCTGTGATTCCTCCTGCAGACTTTTCTCAGCAAACTGAGTATTCTGTTGTCTTCAGCATCATCCAGTTTTGTGTGGGCCCTCGGGACCTTTCATTGCCAAATGCTCAGCCACTTAGACACTGAGTTTTTGCTTTCAGGGCAAACAGATCTTTGAGAATTTCATGCAAGAGCATGAGATCAGTTGATCACCAAGAAGCACAGTGTGTTAAGATGTTGTATGTTTTGCACAATCCTTTGGTCAGCTGGAAGCACTTACTTTAAACTTCTGGAATAGGGCAATTCAGTTACAATTCAAATTTTAAGCCTTTAGGGAAAAAAAAAAAAGACGAATACTGAAGTCTTAGTAGGAGTCCCATGAGAATTTTTTAACATAAACTGGTGTGTGAAATGAAAGAAGACTCAGGGCCTGCTGTACATAGGCTCCTAGAAACACTCAATCTTTTCTTTTTTGTTTTAGCTGAATCTAGTACATCGAATAATGAAGGAGGTTTGGAGGAGATACCAGCTTCATTCTTGCATCTTCTGCTTGTGAGCAAGTCCTTTGTTAAAGTTTTCAGCCTGCTTTTTAAAGTATGGGCATAATTTTGGTCTTCAACAGTACCACTCGCTTGAATAGTTAGTGCTTATTCTACTGTGAATGTCAGTATGACTGTCATGTACTTTTTTTTAATGAGCCTGCTGGCCCTCTGTAAGCTGACACAAATATTAATCATATAGGCAGTTTTACAGCTAGAGTTCAAAGTTGCTGAGTTCATTGTGGTCTTAGGGTGGGTAATGGGTGTTAAACACCTATAAAAGCTGGGTCACCTACACCAGCACTCAAAACCACCTATTGCTGTTGATACCAGGTACTGCTGAGAGACTTGGAAATATGCTGTAGTGGGGGAAGGAGAAAGGGGATGTCACAGAGACTTTGTGTGTCAACACTGAACAGCCAGTGCTGCTAGGTGACAGACACCTAGGTAAACAGAATGGCAATTCACCCAAAATGCATGCATTTAGTGCACATGTAGTACAACAAATTGACCATATCTCCAGGAGAGTGTGGGCATCTCAGGTTCCTAATATGTTGGTACTTTGTTAAATACAGTGATGAGAGAGGAAATGCAGGAGAGTTTGCGGTGTTCCACATCATGAGTCGGATTCTAGAAGCTGCAAATGGCATGTGCATGCCTTTACCTCCTGGTAAGTCCTGTGTTTTCCTGTTTTAATCATAAGTGAGGACAGCAACGCTATAGATTCCTCCCAGAGGAGCACTAGGTGCAGCATGTGGCAAATTAGCTTTGGTGGTATTGAAATCTATTCAAGACAGAGCGGGAAAGACCCTCCATAAACATATGTAAGTGAAATGAGACAAAACTGAATAGTTACTGCAAATAGAGACAACAAATGAGAGGTTTAGTTCTGGGTTTAGCTTCCAGTGGAATGCTTGAGTGCAGTCTTAGCCTAGAACTAAGATTAAGACTTTTTTCATTTATATATTTTTCTTAGACAACTGGACTTTAGTGTCAGGGGCTACAAGGGAAAATCCTATCCTGGAGCAAAAAAAGAGTGTTTTTTCTCATGCTGTTGCCCTGCTAATATTTTTCAGTCTTATCCTGAAAGAATTACCTTCAGCCTTGATAGAAGAGCTGATCTTGACAGTAGACTTCAATTTCCTAGAGCTCCTCATGGTCGCTTAGAGTCTTTTCAAGGTGCTTGCTTATTTTTGTTAGGGAAAGACTTCTTAACTTCTTAATGCTTTCTGATTCTGTTTGAATCTTTCTAGTTTGTATTTCCTGATCTGTCTTCAGTCTTTGAAACTGTTCTTGATATGAGGTTGTCGCTCAAACTTACACTGTGTGGGTGCAAATACTGCCATGTAATGCTGTCACGTGATGACAAGACCATCATCTGGGTGATGTTAAGTGAGAAACTGAAGTCTTAATACTGTCTGTGGCAATCTGTGGGTGGCAGCCACATACTGAGGGTGGTGAGGCCTCAGGTTTTGATTAATTAGGAGGAAAGAGGGAGGTAAAAGCCAAATTAATAGAACAATTCAGATATAAGGCAATAGCTTGGAGATGTTTAATGATTGTGCGTGACTATAATGTCTGTTTTCAGTCCTTTTGGCTTTCCTCTTTCTGACTGGATTGTACTTGAGAGGAGTTAAAGGATGCCTAAATAAGACTACATGCCTTTTGATGAACTGATTTCCTCACCAACTAGGAACAGTTAGAAGATAAGGAGACTGTTTGCTTTAGCAAGACTAATGCCAGTCTCTAATACAGACTTAGAAAAAAATATGTGTTGTTCTACCAAACAAGTTTGTCTCTCCATAGGTTTTCACACTCTACACTTGGGGCTTGGTGTTCGATGTCTCCCTCTGCACACCCTCCTGCACTATATTGATCATGGAGTCTTGCATTTGACAGAAACGTGTGTAAAGAAATTGCTGAAAGGTATGCTGAGTTTTCATGTTTCGTTTGTTACCAGCCAACTAATTGAGAGTAATGTCCTTTCAGAACGGGATTTACCACCCAGGAGACTTGGTTCTTCTCACAGCATGTTGTTTCAGTGAGGGTTGTAGCTGATGGTGTTGCACAGCTGAAAGGAGCAAATTAGGGATCAGATTATATGATTGAGCCTGTTCATAGTAGACAAAGAAATATCTGTTTGGGGAGAATTTGAGTTTATAGTTTTTCCGCTTGGGACATAGAAAGGTGAATACTAAAGATGATCATAGAATTTGTTGGGAGATTTCTGTGACTCTATGAAAGTGCACACCTATGTGTAAGGAAGTTAGTCTGCTATCCAGTCCTCAGGTTTTGCTTCAACTATGTTTGAAACAAGAGGAATAGGCCTGTCAGCCTGACCTCGGTATCGGGGAAGATTATGGAGCAGATCATCTTGAGTGCTGTCACATGGCACATCTAGGACAACCAAGTGATCAGGCCCAGTCTGCATGGGTTCATGAAAGACAGGTCCTGCTTGACTAACCTGATCTCCTTCTATGATAAGGTTTCTCCACTCCTGGAGAAACTGGCTGCTCATGGCTTGGATGGGTGTACTCTTCTCTGGGTAAAAAACTGGCTAGATGACTGTGCCTGAAGAGTTGTGGTGTATGGAATTAAATCCAGTTGACTGTCAGTCACAAGTGGTGTTCCCCAGGGCTCAGTACTGGGGCCAGTTCTATTTAGTATCTTTACCTACAGTCTCAATGAGGGGATCGAGTGCACCCTCGGTAAGTTTGCAGAAGACACCAAGTTGGGTGGGGGTGTTGGTCTGCTTGAGGGTAGGAAGGCTCTGCAGAGGGATCTGGACAGGCTGGGTTGATGGGCCAAGGCCAATTGTATGAGGTTCAACAAGGCTCAGTGCTGGGCCCTGCACCTGGGGCACAACAACCCCCTGCAACGCTACAGGCTTGGGGAAGGGTGACTGGAAAGCTGCCTGGGGGAAAAGGACCTGGGGGTGTTGGTTGACAGACACCTGAATATGAGCTGGCAGTGTGCCCGGGTGGCCAAGAAGGCCAATGGCATCCTGGCTTGTGTCAGAAATAGCGTGGCCAGCAGAGCCAGGGAAGTGACTGTCCCCCTGTACTGGCACTGGTGAAGCTGCACCTCAAATACTGTGTTCAGTTTTGGGCCCCTCCCTACAGGAAAGTCACTGAAGTGCTGGGGTGTGACCAAAGGGCAGCGAAGCTGGTGAAGGGTCTGGAGCACAAGTGTTATGGGGAACGGCTGAGGGAACTGGGGTTGTTTAGTCTGGAGAAAAGGAGGCTGAGGGGAGACCTTGCTGCTCTCTACAACCACCTGAAAGGAGGTTGTAGTGAGGTGGGTGTCGGTCACTTCTCCCAAGTAACAAGCAAGAGGATGAGAGGGAATGGCCTCAAGTTGTGCCAGGGGAAGTTCAGATTGGATATTAGGAAAAATTTTTTTGCTGAAAGGGTTGTCAGGCGTTAGAACAGGCTGCCCAGGGAGGTGGTTGAGTCACAATCCCTGGAGGTACTTAAAAGATGAGTAGATGTGGCACTTAGGGACATGGTTTACTGGTGGGCTTGGCAGTGTTAGTTTAACATTTGGACTCTGTGATCGTAAAGGTCTTTTCCAACCTAAATGTTTCTGTGATTCTAAGATAATCCTAGTGCTGGGATTGGCAAATGCCTAGAAGCTCCGTGCTAGGAAGTAAAAATTCAAAATAAGCAAACAAACTTCTACTTGACACAGCATCCCAATATTTGTAGTAAATATTGAGCTTGTGGATGTCTTCTAAATATAATGTAATGTTAACTAAAAGCAGGAGTTAAAATAAGTTCTATATGAACCAGTGTAGTCATCAAGAGCAGGTCATGTTCTGTGTGTGGCTTTCTGCTCAGCAGGAGCCAAGTAGCTTGTTTCCACAAGAGAGGGTTAGGAGCAAACTAGCACGTGTGCAGTGGGAGTGACTGGGGCCTCCGGCTTCCGAGTGAAATGGGGAATGGGACAGACTGGCAGTTGTAGGCACGGTTGGCATCGCACCCATGTTAACTGCCTTTTCTAGAGAAGAAGGGAGGAAGGGATAACTGTGTAGCAGAAGTTTCCTGGATGCAGCAGCGCCATGATAAGACTCCAGCAGTAATGCCTTTCACCGCAGCTGCAACCATGGTCCCTTGTAATGTGCTATTTCTCTGGTGTTCAAGAACAGGGACAGCACAATATGCTGCATTAATCTGTCCCTGATCTTGATAAATGGAATATAAGTGTGGGGAGTTCTACTTAGAATACTTTTGAATGACTGTATAAATTGTTATATAAAATGGTGGTTACATACAAATATGCAGAAGAATATTTATATAAATGATATAAACATAAATAACACTCTTAATAGCCCTTATTTAAAAGTAAAATTTTCATTTCATTATAGAGATGATACTTGTTCAGAATGTCTTCAGCGAAAGTTGAAAGTTTTAGTTGTGTGGTTACTGGTTGGTTGATTGTGACGTTTTTCCTTTCTCTTACAGATCTGGACAACACTGAAAAGAATGAGAAGCTGAAATTCAGTATTGTCATGAGGCTTCCTGAGGTAACTAATGACTTTGGATGTTACTTCTTGAATTTTGGAATCGATAGAAAATTCCTCCCTGTGCATAGGATCAAGCCAACGGAAGACTTACCTGTGATTTCAAATAGGGCATAGGTACAGCCTGAACCTCCACGGTTTCTCCATTGCTGCTCATGACCTGTGGGGTACCCTGATAAATTATAGATTTGTCCATAGTGTCTTGTGGTGTCTCCAGTACCCTGCAGGAATCAGATAGACAAGACTGACACTGTTCTGCTGACTACTCATCTGCATAAAGCAATAAGGATTTAATGTGTCTTAAAGAGGATTTATGGGGGGTTTGTGTGTGGCTTTTAGCATCCACAAATGCCTTTCTCACTTGTGACCTTTGCATTTGGTTTTATTCATTTTATCAAATATGTTCAAGCTGGTACAGTAAAAGCTGTAAAATCTGATCATATGAGAACTCTGTGGCAGGGATTGGGTGACAAGATCCCCCTCTGTACAACCTCCCAGCCTCACCCATTGGTAAGGTGACTCAACCACAATGCTGGAACTAATTACTGATGCTCCATTAAAAGTTCCAGAAGAATGGGAGATCAACTTCTCCTTCTGCCCTTCAGTTCTTAGTGCGTACCATGGTACTGCAGAGGAAGCACCACATCTCAGTGAGCAGAGGAAAACCAGGGATCCCCCCTCGGGGACTGCCTTGCTGTAAAACAGGCTGCTCTCAACATAAGTTGCTTATTGTTTGCTCATTATGGGCTGTTAAATTATAGTTCAAATGGCCAGAAGTGCTGCTTTGGTTTTCCTCTAACAAGGGCTTCTTTATTGGGCAGCAGTTTTGAGAAAGGGATAGGGAGAGAGAACTCCACAGGAGGTTCTTTGTCCTCTGTATCATGTTTTGGGCATGGGTGGGAGAGCTGGGGTCAGCGGGGGGCCGCGCTGAGCTGTCAGCCCCGGGCCTGCTGTGTGGGGAACGCAGTTCCAGCCGTGCTTTGACGTGAAGGGCTGAGCTGTGAGCTCTTTGGGGGATGGGTACTGCTAGTTACATACCGCAGACTCAGTGCCTTATTGTTTCTATTTAGAGCTTTGGGAAAAACTGCAGAGAATAGTTTGTTTGCCAAAAAGGATGCTTTGGGGTGACTCGGACTATTTTGAGCAGGTTACGTTCACTCGATAACTTCAGTTGCATCAAAAGCAAGTATTTAAGCACCGTTGAAACTGTCCAGCGTTTCCTAAATGAACTCTTTCAGTAGTCTGTACTGCAATACAGCTGAAAGCGAGGGTGAAAAAAAAACGTCTAGCTGGGGAAAATAGCAGAAGGTGGAGCTAATTTCACAGTGTGTTCATATTTGTTTGCTTAGCGGTTAGGATTGGAAGCTTTGGGACATCTGGGTTTGAATCTTTTTTGCCTTTGGGAATGTGACTCAATGTCATCAATTCCCAGGATGGTGTTCTAAATAATGGGATGCAAATTGTGTTCGCAGTATCTCTCCTGGTTGGCAGTCTGCTTTTGTGAGATTCTTTAGACTGAGCCCAACAGAAGCGCTGTCCCGAGCGGAGCAGCGAGGAGTGGGGTGTCTGTGTTCTTCTTTGGGAGAAGAATGGTTCTAAAGCATTCTTAGAGTCACAGTAAAGGATAAATGGTCATTTTAAGTCTCACATGATATTTAAGTACACATGCGAAGTGGGACAGAGCTAATGGGACAGACTGATTAATGGAAACTTACTGAGTAGCTCAGTGAGTAGCAAGGATTTGATTGTTTCCCATGTTTTTGAGAGCATATTGTAATCTCTTAGTTACTGCCAGTGAAAGGCAGGTGATGACCTCGTAGCTTTTGTCATCAATGTCTGAAAGCAAAACAGGCTGTGTTACAGCCTGGGTTTTGTTTCCTTTTTTTTTCCTCCTTTTCGCCCTCCTAAGCTTCCATTGTCCCATGTTTATGTTCTCTGGTTTTTGTTTTTTGCTTACTAGGCTCTTGGTCAAAAGGTCCGCCAGTTCTGGAATCATCCCATAAATGCTAATTTCATAGCACGGAAATACGTGAAACTTTTGCTCGAGAAGCTGGGGAACAGGCAGGTGAGAGCCCATAGGCCATCTTTTAAAATCTTTTGCTTTGACAGCATTGAGATTCCTGACCTTTCTCTAGACTATAACACGTTAAAGATAACACTGAAACTTGGTACCGTGGAAGTTTGTGAACTAACCTGAAATATTCTCCCTTACAGTGTAGCAGGCCTGTCCCTGAGAGACTCTCAGTCCCTGTAGAGTTTTTGCCACTTAACTACCTGACTAATATGCTGGCAGATGTAGAGAATCAAGGTAACGTTAATTCTGTACTTTGGAAGATCAGTAATTGTTACCCTTTGCTCACATGCAGCCGTATCCCAACTATATTGACATAACTGAGTTCTAAAATTCCAGTGATGTCTGAACATGTGGGTTTGGTCATTTTTCTGCTGATGGGAATTGTCAGGGGGCTGCTTCACTGCATATCCTGTCATCCAAATCCTTTCTGTTAAGTCCCCTTAGAAAAGTTGCGTTTTTCAGAACACATGTAGTGAAACACGGTTCATGTGCAGTGTGGTGGTAACTGTTACTCTGTGTTCAAGTGGGCAGAAGGGCTTGTGCCTTATTTAAACAGTGTGGTGGCTAAGAGGCGACCAAAATCAGATCTTCCACCTCAGAAAAGAGCAACCAGATCACTAGGTTAGGAGCTGTTCTGAATTAACAGGCATTTTTTATTTCAACGCTGTTCCTCTTTTTGACATTAAATTCAAATTGGTTAGGGCACTTGCTTCATAAGCATATGAAGCTTTTGAATTCCACTGAAAAAAGCAAGGTGCATTAAGGGAAGCATTAAATTTTTTAGCATTACTGGCTGTGCCTATACTAATAAGCAAAATAAATTCAGATTAAGGACCTGGAGGCTGAAACAGATTGTCCATGTATGGATATCATCCCATTTGGGGAGGAAGAAGACTTAAACCATATAGGAGCATATGAGAATATGCCCCAGTCCATTTTTTAGGTACTAGCACAAACGTAGCCACTGTGCTTAAATCTTGTTTTGGATCTCCAGTGTAGAATTAGTATGGGAATCCTGTCCTTTACTTACATCCCACTAAGAGGAAAGTTCCTGCCATGGGTCCAAACGACCCCACCGAAAGCTGTAGGTGCTTTGTGTAAATGGAAACACAAGTCCAATTCTTACCTTACCTTTTGGTGTTGTAGATGAAGATGTTCAGTAGACTGCACAACCATGTGTACAAGAGCACTTGTGAGTTTGCAAATACTAACTTTCCCGCAATGTTTTTCTAGATGTGCATCCATATGAAAAACAAGAACACGTTAACGTAAGATTTGTGGAGGAAACAGCACTCAGACACACTATGACGCTTTTGGGCCTCAAATATTCCTGAAGTACCATGCTAGTGAAGAAAGCTAACTGTGCTACTCTTTATATAAAGAGTATTCACACAGCAGTGTGCAACTAACTTTTTTTTGGTGTTTGTTTTAAACTTAAATGTTATGTTGTTTCCCAAATAATCTGCAGTTTTGTGTAGCCCCCATTACTGACATAAACTACTCAAAATATTGTTTGGTGAAATGAATTAAGGCTGAAATCACTGACTTCTAGATTTAATCCTAGAGAAATTAGTCTGACAGAAGCCCAGGTTTCCAACGAAAGATATCTGTGGCTCCATGTTGAAGTGGGCAAATAAGGGGAACTACATTGGGTACCAAAACATGTGTTGAAAATTGGAATTAATGTCAGTTACTTTACTAAGATAGACAATCCTGAAAAAGGTAGTCCAGTTGTATTGTACAGTAACAAGAAACTGGTAATTGTTTACTCATTTAGATAATAAAAGAATTTCTTGCTGTGCTTCTGTAAAGCAGTTAAGAATAACAAATGATGAATCAGTCTCTGTATATAATGCCTCAGTAACGATGTATTCATTCCTTGTGGTGGTTGTGTGTTATGGTACTTCTGCCTTTGGAGTTGGATCTTAATGTATTCAGCTTTGTAATTAATGCAAAATATAATCTTCTCAAAGTGCATGTGACAGAGTTGGGGTTTGGTTCTTTAAGGTAAATATAATACATCATAAGCAATACAAGATAAGAAAAAAGTTCTTTAGAAATTTACCTTAATGGTGGATTGGACAGTGTTTTACTTAACTGTAGTCTTACAACTTTTTAGTGATACAGTTCAAACCTCAGCTTCAGGAAGACATGATGGAGATTTGGTTTTCCTTCATTTTTGACTTTTATGTATACATAACTGAACCAGTGTTACTTGGGGTTGGGTTTTTTTGGTTGTTGTTTTTTGTTTTTTGTTTTTAATGTTCTGAACTGTGACATTAATGTAAAATAGTAACGGTGGTTTGCTATGCAGAGAAAATCTTAAGTTCTGAGACGCAGGCTTTCTGCAATCTTTACTGGCTTTAAAAACAACTCTCTGTTTCAGGCGATTAAACTAGTGAAACTCATTGACAGTTTGGTAGATTTTGCAGGTTTTCAATAGCAAACACTGATATTCTATCTGAGCAGTTTCCACTGATGCTTCCCATTCCTTACCAGAGAAATAATAAGATCCAGTTCTCAGGAGTGACTTAGCAAGTTCCTGGTAATTCCCTTGTTATTGCCATCAGTGGAGGAAGAGTTTTAGCTTTCTCTGTAACTGCATAGAGAGAGGGAATATTTTTCTCAATATAATTAAAATTTGTTCGGCAAGTGTAAACTCCAGTCCCATGGTGCAGAAAGCTATGTTGGTGTATTTGTATAAGCGATGGGGACTTTGTTCATGTTGTATTAATAACAAGAGAAGATTTTCCTAGCCTTTTCTTTTTAATGGAATGTATTCTATAATCAGATGCAATAAAACTTCACCTGAAAAAACAATAAGCATAGTATGATGATCACTCATTTTTCTTAACGTTTTAAAATACTGCACTGCATTTGGGAATCGCAGGCTCCTCCTTGTCAGGAGAAGGGAACTTGAATCCCTGACTATTTAGCTACGCTTCTGGCGTTAACAGCTACTTTGTTTTCAGTATGGAATTTGACTAAACACTAATGAACGTTTCTTCAGTGCACTATAAATGCCATTGGCCCTTGAGAGTCAGCGGCCAGCAGTGGCCTCTCCTGCTTTAGGTGCGTGCTGCCTGTTCAGATTTCGACTGGCTTTACGACAGGTTTTCTGAAATGTCTCATGTTTGCTCCAGGATCACTGGGTCTGAAGGGAGCCAGAGCGCCGTAGGGCCGCGGCAGCGGGAGGCTGTATTCGTCGTCCGGGACGTAGGCGGTTGGGCGTTGTTCAGCTGTCACGTGGACACAGTCGGGTGCTGCAGCTTGCTCCCCTGCTGCAGCATGCTGTGAAAGAAACACATTTCGATCACATAGTGATTATATGCTTTAAAACTCTGGGATTCTCCTGAGCCAGTGTACAGAATGCCTAACAAAGGAAACACTGTCCGTCTAGTCCTTGGCAGACCAGGAAACCCAGCGGGGTATTAAAAGGAAAGCGTGAGTTACTGCCCATTTAGATGTGGATTTGTCCTTTTAAATAGTGCACACTTTGAGCCTGTAATGCTTTTGTTATTTGTGAAGAAAACGGATTAAATGAACTTTTAAAGGTTGTAATAAGTGTGCACAGAACATCTCAGGAACGCGACAATAGTTCTGATGCTTCAAAATCCGGCTGTATTTATGCCGACAGCAGCTGGTCCTGAATACTGTTACTGCAGTGAGTTTGTATCCACAGCACTGAAAAACTGAGTCACAGTGTGAGGAGAAATATTAATGACAGAGAAGTTTCTTATTCTAAGCCAGTTTTGCTGCAGCACTTCCGTGTGACTTCATGTTCTTTAAGTGTATGCACAGTTTATTCTTCTCACAGCTTTGTGTGCCTGTCAGATTCCCTTGGAGTGATCAGCTAAAGGAGTCATATAGCAGAGCTAATTTCCCGCCAGCAAGAGTTCCCTCAGCATGCACTTCTCACTCCTACACTTCTCTGGGAGCTCTCTGCTCCGGGATCACTGACGGTCTCAGCTAAGGAGGCGTAGCATCCCGCAGGGTAGAGGTTGAAGCACTGTTTGATATGCTGCCCTGCCTGCCCTCAGTTTCCTCCTGCCCAGCAATCTGATTTCTTCCTACTCCTGATCTGATGTTCACTGTGTCTGGCGTGTGGAAGACACTAAACTTCTCTTCCTGACCCCCACACCCCACCTTTTGCAGCTTTACCTTGAAAGCAAATGACAAGCAGTGCTTCACCGATGGCGCCCTCGCCCATCATCCCAAAACACGGTCACACAAATTACTTTAATAATTGAAGGTAAGTCTTCCTCTTAGTGTATTCTTTCCTTAAAATTCAACGACCGGTTCTAAGCAGTGTTGCCAGGCTGCAGTTAGAACTCCACACACCCACAATGTACCACTCCAGCATTTGTCTCTGTCTGTGCCATCATCTCCTCCGACTCCTGGAGCTCCGTGTTTGGCAGCAAACAGCTACGGCGTGAGCTAGCTCAGCTCTTTCAGAGACACAAACTGGAGCAGTGAAAAGATGGGGCTGAGGATCTTACTGGAATGTATGGCAAAAACTTACTTTCGCTCTGGCTTCAGCTGCTTCTTTTTGCATCTTCTCATTCCGTAATACCTTCAACCAGTCTTTTTCTGTTTCTTTAGGAGGGGGAAGGCCTTGATCTATCCTTGAGGAAACAGTCATCAAAAATTGTTCTCTGTCTCTCATTTCCTGCTGGAGTTTAATGGCAAGTGCTTGCTTCATGGATAGCTCTGCAAGGAGAGCCATCATCTTCCGGGTTCTGTCCTTTACCTTCTTCTGCAGTTCGTTTGTCTGGAATAAGTAATAATTGCATTTTTGTAAGGGCTTCTGTTTAAACACTTACTGGGCATGACACTTAGGTAGGTATGCGAAAACAAGTCTAATTTGACAAGGTCTTAAAAAGTAGTTCCGTACTTGAAAATGACTTAATGAAACAGGATGTGTGTTTCTGTGTACACTTGGAACCACCGAAATTGGCAGCATGAAAAGTCACATTTACTCCAAGATACAGAAAAGCAAGTTTGTAATTACCTCCTGCACTTTTCAGCTGAATAACAAAACTCCCCCTGCCCTTAAAGGCCTGGTATCCCTATTCTCATTGAATTAATGCAAAATTAACTTTATGATAAAGGCGTAATAAGCTCGATCCTTACAAGATAATTGAGTGATAATGCAGACACAGCAGGGCTGCACACTGTGAAGTTATCATTGGCAGGGGGAGGAATAGAAAAGGAATGGAACAGGAATCCTGAGTCTGACAGGAGACTACTTAAACAAAAAAACCCAACAACACTCAAATACTCTTTAATAGGGAATTGGGAGAGTCAGAGCACTTGCAAATGTAACATTTGGCATGCTGCCGTTTTTACAGTAGTTTATTAGTCCATGGCCATGTTTTCACAATCCCAAATAACAGCCATGTTATTCCTCTATGGAAAATTAAAGATTTACACTAAAGATGTGTTTTGTTTTAAGCCTTTCTGGGTGCCAAACCTAACACCTGAGACAAAAAAAGTCATCCCTGGAGTTGTTTTACATTAATTAGCAGGTTTTTTTTCTTTCACTTAGCTCTGTTCCCTTTGGAACATTTTCATTAAGGACATGGAGGTAAGAGGATTTTTGCTCTTCCCTAAACCATATTACTGGTACCTAAAAGGAAATAGCTATATAAAAGTAACTGTATTGAAAGTGGCATTTCTTTCCTGTGTGGTTCTCCCTACCTAAATAACAAACTTTGAGCCAGATATCAAGTTTATCTTTCTGTACGTTGGAGTAGAGTTTCCCTGGCTTTTCCTTCTTTCTCTTTAGCCTTTGACATGTTTGTTGGGGAAAGTCTGTTAAGTATGTGTGCAAAAGGAAGATTCCACCAAGTTTCTAAGCACCTACCTGTGAAAGAACTAATCCTACATTTTGGTGAAAGGTACTATTTATGGTGCAACTTTATTTCAAAAAGAAAGTACGCTCACATGATGCTTTTGGTATGTCTCCGTTACCATTACTACAAAATGTCTGTAATTTCTGAAGACTAATATATGATTTGCCAGTCACTATTTCCAGCTACTTTTGTAATTTGCAAGTGAGTCATCTTACCTCTTGCCCAGATATTATTTCATTTTGTATCACACAGCAAGCAGAGCGTGCAATGCCCTTCTTACCCTTTTAGCTAGCAGCAGTGTGTCCTGCTTCCCGTTCTCTGCCGCGGCACGCGTTCTGTCTGTCAGCCGGCAAACGTGCTCGTAGAGAAAATCTGTTTCCAGCAACTTCTCCTCCTTCTGCACCAGCTCCACCTCTAGCTGCAGCGACAAGGAGTATACAGGGTGTAGGTAAATGTCAGGGGAAGGTGCAGCACAGGGTGTCCCTGTGATTGCTTTGGGAACTGCTGGAGTAATATCGGTGAGCAGCCATAAATAACCACCATCAGTTTTCTCAAATTTTTCACCCTCTCTGCCAAGAATCAAGCCAAAATTGGTTCAGTTGGTTACTGTCAGCCATACAGTTCTTCCATATCAGACCAGGCCCTTTTTGGGGGGCAGGGGCTTACACCAGCATTATTACTACCTTGCTGTGATTTTCTTGAAAGCAATGATTTTTTTTCTAGTGATTTGTTTCGTTTTGTTTCATTTTTTTTTTAAACTTCTGCTTCCCTGAGTCATGCCATACTGAGGTTTCCACTCTTGCTTTAAATCAGACCTTTTCCCTTCTGCTGCTAAAAAAAAGAAAAGAAGACTGAAGGTACTGTGTAACTAAAGGGACTTTAAAAACACAAAGAGGTTGAAAGAGAGAAGGTAAACTTATAACCCCAAGAAACATGGCTTTTTTAATGTGCAGGTTGGTAATAGCAGGCTGTGTTGTAGCCTGCTTGGCTATGCAGAGCTCCCTCCTGTCAAGGAACAGGGGACAGTAAAGTAAAAAGCTCACGTGATTCAAGCAGAGTTGTTCATGGTAAAGCTTTACCAACTGGATTTCAAAAGGAGGACTTAGGTGCATACTGCTCCGAGCTTGCTGTTCCCCTAATACCTTCAGAGCCCTGTGCCAATCCCCCTGAATGCTAAATACAGTGGGGAGAGTTTTGCGCCCCTATAAATGGGAGAGACAAAAATATATAAGAAAATATCATGGTTGCTCATCCCATTCCTTTACCTTCCCCCCAGGACGTGCCCTGAACTTGGCTTTCATCTGGGCCCTCGTGCCCCCTCTGAAGCCTCTCCCGGCCGTCACTGGCCACGCTGCGGCCGCGCAGCTGCCTGGCTGCCGCTTTGTGGAAACAAAGCAGCAAAGGCAAAGCCTGAGGAGGATGTTTGTTTGATTCTGTGACACTGCCTCCCGCTCACAGCCCCTGTATGGTGGTGGAACAGCTAATAGCCAGCAGCAGTCGAATGACAACTTCGTTTGTTAGCAATTTACTCTTCTGCATTTATTTCCTTCTGCTGCCTTGTCCGTGCCTTCCCTGAGCCTCTGTGCTGAAGTGCCAGAGGTGCGAATGGACCAGCTGGGCGAGGACGCTGCGGAGCCAGGTGTGACCCACAGAGCTCCCCCGCGCCAGCCGCTGCTGGGAAAAATCAAAATGTCCCATGTCCACTTGTCCTGGAAAGCAGACGCTGGGCTGGAGTTCCTACTAGCCAATCGAAATTATTTTAATTCTTCTTACAGAAAGCTTATTTTAAAAATAAAAGATACCATTTGCTTTTTCTAAAAGAGGTCAACCACAGTGGGAGAGCTCATGACGTGGGAAGTGTTGTTACCTGCTCAATCTTTTTTAGCAGCTCAGGTGGAGATGGGTCTTCCCCTCCCAAGTCTCGCTTTCTACTCTCATCCATGGGGTCAGCAAAGATTTCCTCCATCC